GCATTTTCCGGGGTGGCGACGGAGGCATTCGAGTCAGTTCCTCCAGCCATGGCGTCGGGGTCTGACCACTTGGCCCCCCTTCTTTCCTGCCTTTCCGGTTGCCCCGACTTTTTCTTTTGAGGCCGGGGCTTTGGAGGATGAGTCAACCCAGGGTCCAGGTGTGGAGGTTCCTGGGGTTGGGGAGGGGTTGACTTGGGGCCCTTGGGTGCCCGCTGGACCCCGCCTGGGTTTTTCTACCCTCCGAGCGAGGCTTACTGTTGCAAGGAGTGGGGTTTTCTTTCCACCCCTCCGCATGCAAGTTGAATTTGGTGTCGGCCCCTCCCCGGGTTCGATTCCATGTCCCTTCGTCTCTACAGGTCCGTCGGTTCTATCCTTCCGGAGGTTTTCAGCTTCTTGCATCCCGCGGTGAGTTACCTCCTGCACAACCCAGATTACGCATCTGTTATGAATCGGTCTTCGTCTTCCCACTGGGTTTGTTATAAGGTTCCAGAGTCGTCCTGGCTAGCGGACTGCCCTGTATTGTCTTTGGATGCTTGGCATACTTTGTCATACCCGCACGCTTGACTGGTGAGAGGCGCTGACGGTAGTCCAGGTTTACCTGTGGGGGGGGAGTTTGAGCACCTCAATGCGTGTTTGTTCACCCCTCCCCTTCAGCAGGATGTTGGCGTGTTGTAGCGTCATGATCAGATTCCCCTCCCTTTCGGCTGCACTGATAGCTGAGGACTTGTACGCTCGTGTACTATTGGTTTCGGGCTTGCGGTTCTTTTCCCTCCTGGAGCTGTCTTTGGATTGGCTTGAGGAGGATGTGGAAGCGCTTGAAGCCGTTCCTGGGTCTGGTGCCTTGTCTCAGTGGCACGTACATCGTCTGCACTGTTGAAGCTGTTTGCGCCGATACAGTGGGATGCAGTGTCGCTGTCTTTCGCTTCGAATCTCGCGTGTTGACAGGTGGTGCTTGCTTCCTCTTTGAAATCTGCTTGGGCCATGGTTCTTAAGTTTTTGTCACCATTTTGTCTCCTGTTGTATGCAGAGTCTGCGATCGGACAATATCTTCAGACAGCTTCTTCAAGTTGTCGTCCGATGTCAGACTTGTTGGATCTTTGGGGGGGTCCCGGGGGTGGGGGTTCTTCCTGGAAGGGTCGTGCCAGGGCTTGAGTTTCCTCTCATCGTTGTAGGCCGCTGATGCCAGTTTCTGAGCCAGTGCCGCCTTTGGACCCATCTTCATCTGGTTGGTGCAGTGATTGCTTTGTGTGTAAGCTGGGTTCTCGCAAGGGGCATCGGCCCCTTTCACGGTTCTTCCCATTGATGGGGCGATGTGAGGGAGGCTCGTGCTGTTCGCTCATGCCTGGTCTCATGATTTGTGTTTTTTTGGGTCATTCTGATGCCCTGTGTTGGCATTGGGTGGCCCCCTTCCTCCTTCAAGGGGGTTCGGGAATGGCGGGCCAGGCCTCTTCTCCTGCGCTCTGTCGGGTCATCATGGAGTGGGTGCGCATGGGCGTGGTCGAAACGACAACACTCCTCAGGTGGGTTTCCCGTCTGTTCCCAGTCCCGAAATGGGACTGTGCAGACCTGTAGTTCATTCTGGACTTGTCTCAGCTGAACCCTTGAGTTTCTTGGCCCCCCCCCCTTTTGGATGACTACTCTGTCCCAGGTCTGGCTACTGTTGGAGCCAGGTGCTTGGATGGTGTCCCTGGACCTCAAGGATGTGTATTGGCACATCCCGATTCATCCGGAGTTCAGGGATTGGCTCACTTTTGTTGTGAGGAGTCTCGGTTACTGCTTTTGTTTTCTCCCGTTCGGGTTGAACCTGGCACCTCGCGTATCCACACACCTTACCCAGGTCGTGGTGGCCCATCTGCGTCTATTAGGTGTTCGGGTGCTAGCCTTCTTCGATGACTGGCTGGTGTGGGCTCCCAGCCAGTCTGCTTGTCTGCTCGCCAGGGATTTGGTTCTTTCCCAGCTCGTCGGGTTCAGGTTCTTGGTGAACTGGCGGAAGTCCCATCTGATTCCCTCTCAGGTTCAGACTTGGTTGGGTCTTATGTGGGACCCTCAGATCGCTTCTTTGTCTATCCCTCCGGAGTCTCTGCTTCGGCTGTGGTCCCGCCTTCGCATGTTTCAGGAGGGCTCCCAGGTCACTCGGCAGTTGGTCGAGGGTTTGGGCTGGAGCCTGAACTTTAGCGTGATTGTCTACCCTCTGGGTCGGATTTGGATTAGTTGGCTGTTCTGGTTCCTTCGGGGAATGTCCCTTCCGCCTCTCTCATGATCATTGGGTTCGGCCTCCCGGGGCCTTGCGTTGACTACTGCATCTCTGGCTTCCTCTTTGGATTTTTCGGAGTTCAGTGCGCCTACCCGAGCCCTAGCTCGATGTGTTCACGAATGCATCGTCTCTTGGCTGGGGCTTTGTGACCAGTGCTCACCAGGCCGGCCAGTGGTGGTGGTGTCTGTCTTTTCGTTGGACCCACAGAACGGTGCGGGAGTTTGTGGCAGTGTGGATGTCACTTCGGAGGGTTCAGGTCGCTTGCGGGTCGACGATCAAGCTCCATTCGGACTGCTCCTTGGCACCATGGGAATTCGATGCGGTCCTAGGCTCTTTAGGGCTGGTCGCTTTAGGTGACTCATCTGCTGAGATCTCGGGGGTTTGGCTCTCCCTACCGTTCATGTTCGGCAGTGTCCAACGTCCTGGCAGATGTCCTGTCCCAGTTCATTCCCCTGTCCATGTAATGGATGGTACAGGCTACAGGAGGTGGACCTTTTTGCGTCGGTGTGGTCGAGGCGTCTCCCAATATATGTGGTGCCCTTCCCCGACTGCGGGATCGTCGGGGTCGATGCCGTCAGGTAGGACTGGTCGAGGTGGGGTTACCTATACCTCTTCTACCCCCGGTTCAGCTGCTGCTCCAGATCCTAGCTCGCTTGGAGATTTACCAGGGAAGAGTAGTCCTCTTGGCCCCATGGTAGCCAACCCAGCCTTGGTTTCAGGTGCTGCTTGCTTGGTGTCCGAACCCAAAGGTTTTTTCGCGGCTCCGCCTCTTTCAGCAGTTCGGTCTGGTCCGTGACATGGCTGATTCGATCTTCTCCTCGAGTCTTCGCGTCTGTTTTTTTTTTTTTTTTTTTTTTTTTTTTTTTTTTTACTCGAGTCCATCACCATCTGTATAGTGATCAGATGTCTGTTGATAGTGTTCCAACTGTGTGCTTCGTCTCGGCGACAGTATGAAGTTTCTTTCATTTATTTTTGTCTCTTCATAGGTGTACTTCGCTTTCTGTTCAGATTGTCTCATCCTTTCTCTCGTGGTTGTTTCGGGATCGTGATTTTATGCCAAATACTCTCGCCTCGTATTGTGGGGTGCTGGTGGAGTCATGCAGCTTGCTTTCAGTATTGTTGTTACTTGTGCACTGTTTCACAAACTGTCTCAGGCACTGTTTCACCTCCGGCCTGCTCATGCACTGCCTAAGCCATCCTGGTAGTTGGACAGGGTGCTCTCTTATCCTTCTCTTCCCCTCGGTTTGTAGTGGCCCCTTCGGTTTAGGATTGTTTCTCAAAGGCTCTTTTTCTTGTTGGCTTTGGCCTCTGGGGGTCGGGTGGGGGAGCTTCATGCTCTCCTCCGGCGCAGAGGTTTCCTGCTATTTTGGTTCTGGTGATAGGTTTGTTCATTTGCAGCCGTCTCCTTTTCTAGCGAAGAATGACACGGCTGCTTTCCGGAGGAGTCCTTGGGTTGTTGATGCTTGGTTGGTTAGGCCAGTGGTGCATCATATCTTGTGTCTGGTTTTGGCTCTCTGCCATTTTTTGCGTGCCACAGCCTCTGTGTCCGGGGACGCGCTTTGGGTTAACCTGGTTTCTCTAAGGTCCATTAAGCAGGAAGAACCCAATTACTGGCTCAAGGAGGCCGTAACAAGGAGCCATTCACGTTTTACATACTCACCATTCCGCAGTTCACGTTTGAACACATTATTTGATAAATGCCTTGCCTTCATATTCTCTACTTCAGCTGTTTTATACACACTGCATGAGTTTGAAAGGTTGCTATCATGATTGACATGAAGGCCCACTACGAATACAGTAATCTATTGTGTTCGTATCATTAATATTTCATAGCCCCAGATCTGTCTCATGGATTGCAAACTCCTTTACTGTTACAGATTTGTATATTTCTTCTTGTAAAATGTCACGAGCAGCAGCAACAGGCAATGTCTGCTGAAACTAGATGATTGGTAGCAGGAATGGATGCTGATGTGGATGCTATATCTGAAGGAATGGTATGAGTGACTGTCGTTGCACCTGTGTTGAGCCACGATGTTAATTTTGGAAGTGTTCCTATTTTCTTCTTCTGTTTGCAGATCTCCTCCTCTTCTGTGCTCCACTCAAAATATTAAGTTTCATTTCTGCTGAAAGGGTTATTCACCTGGAAATATCTTAAATGTTTAGTATTTAATCCCACACCAGGATGTAGGCTTACATTATATAAGTGTGCTTGCAACAAAACCTATCTATTTAAACATTCTGCTTCTATAATGAATATGCCCTATGCAGGGTAAGTGTCCATCAGGCCCATGCAGTAAGATGGCTCTGACTAGATGTGGAAGTTTCTGTATCCCACTGACAAAAGTTGCAGGTGGCCTTTTCCTGTTGTTCCCCCTTAGCCGAGAGGACGAGAGGTGCGATGTCTAACCACGGGGGGGGGGGATTATCTTGTGAGCTTAGAATTCTATTTTATTCTGCTCAGGGAATCTGTGGCGAGTTAGTCGCTGCTGGATTGGGACTAGAGTCCCTCTGTTGTCATGGTACCAAGAGTGGGGAATGTTCTTCTATATGGCCTACCAGAAAAGAGCATTTAATTTAAGAATCAATGCATGATTCTTTATACATTTTACATTTTTGGTTCCACAATCTATTACCAAGTTTGTAGTTCACATAAGTTGAAATTTTCAGAACACCATCTATAGTACTTTTCAGTTTACAAGTTTCATGATGAATTCCCCTAAAATACTGTATTGTTCTGTTAACACAGGGAGCAAACTTCAGCATCTACAGGTCGAATTCAGTGCCGCAACCCAAACCTACAGTCTATTCCCAAACACTCGGTTACAGTTACATTGGACAATATTGGTAAGACTTTTATTTTATTTCCTAACAAATTTGATTATTTAACCCTTTAGCCGCTCTAGGTGATAGTAGGCGACATTGGTTTTTACCAACATTGAATGGAATAAAATGCCAATTTCTGGGTGAACCCCAGTGGCTCTCTGAAGCTATTTCGTGGAGATGGCTTCCAACTAGGAGGTTGCATCAGCTACGGACTTATTAGGCCCACCAGGAACAAGAGCCAGAACCTGGCCCCCTCAAAGAGGCACAGGGAGCAGATGACAGCCCATCACCTCACTGGGAAAGGCATCCACAAAGTCAGTGAACCAAAACATACAACTCTTGGGTACAAAGGAGAGACCAAAACCTTGGAATCTCTCGAAACTAGCATGAGCTCATTTGCCCCACCTCCAACACTCGTTTGAGAGGAGGCAGTGAAGGGACTCGCTACCTCCAGGAGTCTGAGCTGTCAGTTCTGGTGCAGATGTACAAACAAGACCCACCCAACTCCCTGTATAGGAGGGAGAGGATCAGGGAGCCACCAGGCCTCGTCCAGAAATTGATATTTTATAACATTTAATGTTGGTTTTCTGGGATAGAGCCTCTTGTGGCTCCCTGAAGCTAACTACCCACATTGAATGAGTAAATACAGGGACTTGTTAGAGAGAAGGCAAAACTGCAGGGAGTCAGGACAAAAATAAGAACCAAGGTCAAGAGACCCCGACCCAAGGTCGCACAAGAATGTTGAGGCCCAGGAACAGTAACAAAACACCTGGCCACCAGAACCCTCTTAGATCGCCAAAACCCCAGTGTCTAAATATCAATCCAAGACATAATTGAAGAAACATCTGCCAAAGCAGCATACTTCTGAACATCATGGCTGGCTAGACTTAATAGCACTGTGAATGATTTGAGAAACATGAGCCTTGGAATAAAGAACCAAGGACATGAGATCCACTCACAAAGCATCCACTAAGGCAGAATTAGTGGCATGAAGGTAGCAGCAGAGAGCCACCACCTGACACAACACATGGTGCACCCGCAGCTGAACCAAACAAGCATCAATAATGAGAGAATCATTTTGGAAGTTAGTTGATTTGTTCTTCACCAGAAAAGGATAAAAGGATGAGCCAGCACCAGATGAATGAAACGCCCACTAGGGACAAAAGACAACTACCCTATCTTCAGGAGGAGAGCAGGAAGCTCCCCGACTTGACAACTGGAGGCAAGTGCTACCAAAAAGAAAATCTTAGAAAAAGATTCCTAGACTGAAGGGGAAACCAAAGCTAATGGTTAAAAGCTAATAAAGCTAATGGCACTGGGTGCCTACTGTATAAATGCAGACTAGGTCTATGCACCCTACAGTAGGCTGGTGTTTAAGGTAGATCCAGTAACATAAATTTCTCTCAAATATTTGATTTACATCAAATTATGTATTTTTGGGTTATATATTTTAGCAACATTGTTACGATAATAAGAGCTATAAAAAATACTCATTTTAGAACTGTTTTATTAATTTTATTATTTCGAAGCTGACGATCACTGAACTGTGGCGACGAAATCGAACGAAACAAGCATAGTGTTGTGTGCACATGGATTAGACCCGTCCACTCGCGCTGGAGTTCTTGTGCCAATGACATGAATAATTTCTCAAATAGCAGATGTCTATCATATTACAGTATATTTTGGGTTTTATTTACTTTAGTTTCATTAGGATAATAAAGAGCTATTAAAGCACTAGTTTTAGAAATGCTTTATTAACTTTCAAAGTCATGGGTCGCTGAACTATGATGACACAGACAAAGGTGAGTGAAACCTCACTGTAAAGTGAGGTTTATTCAATTCAATTCAACTCAACAAAGTTACACTCTTGATGCAAAACTCTTATATCTCTCCATAATATCATCACTTTCCATTGTGACACATCCAAGCAATTTGTTCAGGAACAGTTCTTATCTCAGTGTTTCTATATACTGTACATTAATCAACGAGGAATCAAGAACATGCTGGGTGAGGGTGTGAGACCTTAACATACCACATAGTTTACACTTTATTTCTTTCTCATTAACATCTGTTCTATATTCCCGGTAATATTTGTACTCGTGCCTGAGTCACATGCAGCTTGATCACATTGGTCATCATACCAGTGATGGTACTCTTCAACAATCTAATGCTTTCCCATTATAAATACTGTTCTGGGCCTCATGTCACTTCTCATGGCATGTGAAAAATCCCAACTGGAAAATGTTATGAGACATGCGTGATCAAGCAGGTTGTGATGGCTGTGTAGGACTGAGAGCCACTAACATGAACAGCCTCACTAATCAAACTATTGTCAGAAAAGTCTAACTCCGAGAACAGGATACTTGAGTAGAAAACAAAAAGCCATTCACAGATAATTCTGTGAAAGCTGGTACAGTAATTCATAGCAGCACTTGCTAGGTGCAATGATAATATTTTCCAATTTTCATCCATCATTTAATTACTTTTGTTTGATTTTGAATATACAGAGACAGTTGTGTTGGCCCGAGAATTTTTCCGAAGTAGAGATGGTTATATCCTCGTGGCTGCAGACTTTCAACAGACAGAGTTACGTATGTTGGCTCACTTGTCTCAGGATGCAGTTTTACTTGCTGGCTTCAGGCAGCCAAAATCACAACTCATTGACATATTCAAACAACTCTCTGCTTTGTGGTAAGTCCTAGCAATAATAAAATTACTATATCAACAGCTATATAACATGGCACTTTAGTTGTACCAGAGAACTTTCACATCTAAATGTAAGGTCCCAGGGAGGGTGTTATAAATCAATTATCTCTGAATATGGGGAAAAGTTACTATTTATATTCATGACTACCATTTCTGAGCTATCTTGTATGGTTGTTCTCAAGGCAAGATTCTACAACATTTTGTATATGATCTGCCAAAGTCAGGGTAAGTCAACATTCTTATAATTACAACAATGAGATTTTCAAATCATCCACATTGGCTCATGCTGGTGTTAGAGAAATGCTTAAAAATACTCAATTCAAAATGTAGACAGAAAAATACCTGCATATACTCAAAAGCCTTTTTAAGTTTAATTTTGCAATAGAGAGATCACCAAGCTTTACCCTACCTAACTATTTAACTATCCACCAGGTCAATGATCAAATAGCAGCAGGCTCCACAATGAATCCCTCCAGCCAAACTTTTATCACGCTCCACCCTGTTTGGTCTTGGCTACAGATTGTTAGCATACAGAGACCAATAATTTCAGTTGTTTAGCATGTACTATTGCATACGTGTGTAATTACCTAAGTGTAGTTACAGGATGAGAGTTACGCTCGTGGTGTCCCGTCTTCCCAACACTGTCATATAATGCTTTGAAACTACTGACGGTCTTGGCCTCCACCACCTTCTCACCTAACTTGTTCCAACCGTCTACCACTCTGTTTGCAAAAGTGAATTTTCTTATATTTCTTTGGCATCTGTGTTTAGCTAGTTTAAATCTATGATCTCTTGTTCTTGAAGTTCCAGGTCTCGGGAAATCTTCCCTATCGATTTTATCAATTCCTGTTACTATTTTGAACATAGTGATCATATCCCTCTTTTTCTTCTGTCTTCTAGTTTAGCATATTTAATGCCTCTAACCTCTCCTCATAGCTCTTGCCCTTCAGTTCTGGGAGCCACTTAGTAGCATGTCATTGCACCTTTTCCAGTTTGTTGATGTGCTTCTTAAGATATGGGCACCACACAACCGCTACATATTCTAGCTTTGGCCTAACAAAAGTCATGAACAATTTCTTTAGTATATCGGCATCCATGTATTTAAAAGCAGTTCTGAAGTTAGAAAGTGTGGCATAGGCTCCTCGCACAATATTCTTTATGTGGTCCTCAGGTGATAGTTTTCTATCTTGAACCACCCCAAGATCTCTTTCTTTATCAGAATTCTTTAAAGATTTCTCACATAATATATAGGTTGTGTGGGGTCTATGTTCTCCTATTCCACATTCCATAACATGACATTTATTAACATTAAATTCCATTTGCCAAGTGGTGCTCCATATACTTATTTTGTCCAGGTCATCTTGAAGCGCATGACAATCATCTAAGTTTCTTTATCCTTCCTATTATCTTAGCATCATCAGCAAACATGTTCATATAATTCTGTATACCAACTGGTAGATCATTTATGTAGACAATAAACATCACTGGTGCAAGAACTGAACCCTGTGGTACTCCACTTGTGATATTTCTCCATTCCGATACATTGCCTCTGATCACTGCCCTCATCTTTCTATCAGTCAGGAAATTTTTCATCCATGTTAGAAGCTTACCTGTCACCCCTCCAATATTTTCCAGTTTCCAGAACAACCTCTTATGTGGAACTCTTTCGAAAGCCTTTTTTTAGGTCCAGATAGATGCAGTCAACCCAACCATCTCTTCCCTGTAAAATCTCTGTGGCTCGATCATAGAAACTGAGTAAATTTGATACACAGGTTCTTCCAGATCGAAAACTATACTGTCTGTCTAATATAATATCATTTCTCTCCAGGTGTTCTACCCATTTAGTTTTGATTAGTTTTTCCAATACTTTCACTATTATTACACTAGTCAATGATACAGGTCTATAATTGAGGGGTCTTCCCTGCTGCCACTTTTGTGTGTGTGTGTAATTACCTAAGTGTAGTTACAGGATGAGAGCTACGCTCGTGGTGTCCTGTCTTCCCAGCACTCTTTGTCATATAATGCTTTGAAACTACTGATGGTCTTGGCCTCCACCACCTTCTCGCCTAACTTGTTCCAACCGTCTACCACTCTGTTTGCGAAAGTGAATTTTCTTATTTCTTCGGCATCTGTGTTTAGCTAGTTTAAATCTATGACCTCTTGTTCTTAAAGTTCCAGGTGCCCCTGCCCTTCCACGGGATGTTGGTGTCATGCAGCTTCACGTGCAGATTCCTTCCCTTTCGGCCGCCTTGGTTGCGGATTCGTGGCCTGCTTGCTTCGGCCCTGTGTTTCTTTTCCTTCCTTGAGCTGTCCTCAGATTGGCTTGAATTGGATGTGGAGGCGCTTGGGGACATTTCCGGGTCTGGTGTGTTGCCGGACCCGGAAACTGTGCGGGCGTCGTCTGCTTTGTTGAAGCTCTTCGCACCCATCCTGCATGATGTGGTTTCACGGTTCTATGCTTCTCGCCTTGCATGTCGTCAGGCGGTGCTGGCTTTTTCCTTGGAATCCGCTTGGGCTCTGGCTCTTCGTTGTCTTCGCCCTTTTTTCCGTTGCTATTTGCCGAGTCTGCTGTGGTGCAGTACCTGCAGGCGGCCTCGGTTAGTTGTCTGCCTATGTCTGAGTTGTTGTTGCTCTGGAGGGGGGGCCTTCCCGGAAAGGTCGTGCCAGGGCTCGTGGTTCTTTTCGTCGAGGTAGGCCTTTGGTGCTAGATTTGGGGCTGGCGCAGCCTTCGGTTCCGGCTGTTGCTGGTCGGCGTGGGGATTGCCCTATTCGATGCTTGGGCCGCTCGTTACCTGATTAACGTTCCTGGCCCTAGTAGGGCATCTGTCGCTTTAGGTTGCAGGCTGCAGCCATTGCAGCCATCCAGAGGCTCTGGCTCGTGGAGCCAGACCCTGGCGTGGGGCCAGGACCAGGTTCTGGCTCATGGTCCATGGTAGGCATAAGGGCTCATGTGACAGATGACCCCAAACTAATATAGCACATATAAGTTCAGATAGCATCAGGGAGCCTCTGGGGCTCACCCAGGAAATGGGGTTTCATTACAATCATCACTGGTTTTATTACATTAATGATAATAAGGCACATAATTTAAAGCTGTACCCTAGAATACAAATAACAACCTGTTCTTATTTAATTATAAACAATGGGAGGGATATCTAGATATATTCGACTAAAGTACAAGTCGAAAGCAAGGAATCATATTCTATACGGGACAAGAAATACACCTTGAGGTACAATTTCACAAAGGGGTTTTATTGAACAACACAGGATTATTTGACACTGATTAAATATAGGGCACACTGTTACATACTAGGAGAGTTGAGATACAGCGGGGATACTTCTCAGCAGACATAAATATTAAGAGTGAATAGACTATAGGATGCATTCCAACTGGGACTTAAGGTCGCCACAGTACTCTATCCTTCCTTGGTAATTACTAAGGTGGCATGGGTTTTAGCAATACTATGTTCTAACACTTAAACACTTTACAAATGGTGGACAAAGTTGATGTGGTTAGACCACGTGTTACAGAAAGGCGAGTGAGTGAATCAAAACAACACAAACCACCACCTATGCACAGGGGTTCCATAAATATCCTTAGTTTTAAAACTGCCTATCCCTAACCAACATGGGAACTGAGCACCGCTATAGCATGTATGTGATACAAATGCACTTATTGTTATTGTAGGAGAGACCCCCCCCCCCACACACGTTACACAAGCGACGACTGGACTGCTCTCCAACCCTGCCCAAAACCAAGTGAACAAGGCAGCTAGCACATGTATGACCAACTGCTTGGTTCCAATAATGTTTCATACACATTAGTATCTCCCAATAGTTCATTTTTATGTCTTATAAAGTTCCTGGCTGTTTTTCAACATTTAGCACTGTTGTTTCTATATATTTTCCAGCACTGAATATACTTTTTAAATATGTATTTTCTTTGCTGTTTACACTGTTCTGGGGATGACACTTTCTTGCTATGACAATGCTCTGCGCATGTACAGAACTGACTATTGTACTGGTGGGGATTCTAAATGTAAGAGTTCCAGACTGTTTTTCAACATTTAACACTGCTGTTTCTTTTTTTTCTTTTTTCTTTTTTTTTGAGATACATACAAGAGTTGTTACATTCTTGTACAGCCACTAGTACGCGTAGCGTTTCGGGCAGGTCCCTGGAATACGATCCCCAGCCGCGAAGAATCGTTTTTTCATCCAAGTACACATTTTACTGTTGCGTTAAACAGAGGCTACAGTTAAGGATTTGCGCCCAGTAAATCCTCCCCGGCCAGGATACGAACCCATGACATAGCGCTCGCAGTGTATCACGGGGAGGGTTTCTCGAATTATCTTTCCTCCTTCTTTTCCCTCTACCCGTATTCTTACTTTTTATTTCTCTACAAGGGACTCCAAAACTTTTACTAAAGCCGACTCCACGCCACGTGGTCCTCAGACGATTGACCGACTTAGGATTCTACAACCCGTATGACGTGACATAGGCTTCGAGCAAAACCCTAGAGTTGCCTCCGCCTCCACCACCAGACCAGTAACACTGAGCAATGATCGAGGTCTGGATCGATCATGCTAATTAATCAACCGTGGGGCTTGATCCCCACTATAACCGATGACCTTGAAAACTTAGAGTGTGGAATTAATTACACGGGAATGATGAATTCCGACTCGATGTTAGAATCGGCGCCCAATCCAACTCTGCCTCGTGTGGACCACGTGACCAGGACAAGTTCACATATAACAAACACATGGAAATAATAAAAATGCAGAATATTAACTAATTAATTTATTACAAGAAAACTAAAACAAAATCTAAATGTGTTCACTCCCTACTTGACCTGAACGGCAATGAGTTGACTATCCCTATAAAAACTCATAAAGCAACTCTACCTTGGGCGACCAGCTCTAGATGTTGGGGGCTGGTCTTGGGAGAGAGGTAAGATGGTTGACCTCTCCCAGTTGATCTGGAGTCCACACTGATCTCTCCTCGTCTGGTCTTCCCCAGACTAGAGCATTGTATCCTTCCGCATAGTCTAAGTTTTACCAAGTTACTAGCAAGGTTTAAGTTATAACAATTAACCTCTGTTGTACTTAATTGATCCAGACTGGTTGAATTATTTTACTGAAGTTAAATTACACAAGCATCTAACGGCAGAGCTGTTCCCGTTCCCCAAAATGGTTATTTGAACTTTGAGAAATAGTGGACATGTCAACTCTGATGACCTATGACCGCCGGTCACTCGCGCCTTACAACTTAGATCTGATTCGTGACGTCACTGATGGTGACTTAACTCAAATCTCCTAATAATTAGAATACTCTTGGTACTATAACCAGGAATATTATACAATACCATTTTAATACAAAATGAATAAAGGCTAATTTCTCTAAATTACTGAATACTATAGGATGATTCATTATACGCAACTATGAACAAGGCGTCGATTATTTTCACCGCGAATTCCCTGGGGTCAGGTCCCGGGTCACCACGCGGGCCCAGCTTCCCATTCTCTTTTGTCGATAAACCACTCTGGATAATTCTTACAACCAGCCTAGTTTGTTACAGCGGAACGCCAGGCGAGTGTCTTACCACTACACCACGGAGATCTAGTTTCTATGTCTCTCACCTGGGTTATTCACTTCTCAAGGGTCTCTCTTACAATGCTGATTTTTATTGTACTGTATGGCCATTCAGAAAATAATATATCAGAATGGCACTGTCTGCTCTGCAATTCTCTCTTTCTCTTTCCTGACCCTTTAAGTGTATATTATAGTATTACTTCTTTTGCTGTGTTTAGGCTAGGCAAAGACGTGAGTGAGGTGACAACAAGTGAACGAGAACGCACAAAAAGAGTTGTATATGCTGTAATTTATGGAGCTGGACGAGATAAGTTGGCAGAAGTGCTTCACTTAAGTCCACTTGAAGCTAAGGACATAATATCATCCTTTATGAGTAAGTACAGTAGACTGACTTTTTTTTTTTTTTTTTTTTTTTTTTTTTTTTTTTTTTTTTTTATATCCACCTCATGCTCATTTACCTCCCCATTTGTTTAGGTGGGAATGGGGTGGGCAGTCCATGACTCCCAGGCTGCAAGCCAGTCAGTTCAACGAATGATGGGAAGCACCTGACTCCCTGGGGGAGGGAGGGTGACAGGGAGCCAGGCTCACTCAGGAATTGGTATTTTATTACATTCAAAACTGATTTTCTGGGGGGGGGAAACCCCTTGTGGCTTCCTGTAGCTATTTATCTATGGAGCAGAAAAAGAGGACTTACCAGGGAGAAGTGAGCACCTCGGGAATCAACAAAAAAGAAAAGTTGGCCGCAGCAGCAGACCCAAGCATAATAGGGAGCATAACCAAGCAAATATTGCGGCAGCCAGAAAAATGGTAGGATGGATTATGAAAACTTTCAAATCCTGGGATTCCATCACAATGGTTGTACTCTTCAAGTCACTTGTGTTGTCCCGTCTTGAGTACTGCTCAGTACTCACTTTCCCCTTCAGAGCAGGAGCCCGCACCTAAAGACGAGATAAAGCACCTAAATTATTGGGATTGTCTCAAAGCTCTCCAAATGTACTCACTAGAAAGGAGACGAGAGAGATACCAAATAATATACACATGGAAACCCAAATCTACACAGTAAAATAACATACTGGAGTGAACGATATGAAGAAAATGCAGAATAGAACCAGTGAAGAGCAGAGGTGCCATAGGCACAATCAGAGAACACTGCAGTATAAACATCAGAGGTCCACGGTTGTTCAACGTCCTCCCAGCGACTATAAGAAATATTATTGCCGGAACAACTGTGGACATCTTCAAGAGAAAACTAGACTGTTCTCTAAAAAAATGTGCCGGACCAACAGGGCTGTGATGGGTATGTGGACCTGTGGACCGCTCCAAGCAACAGCCTGGTAGACCAAACTCTCACAAGTCAAACATGGCCTCAGGCCGGGCTTGAGGGAGTAGAAGAACTCCCAGAACCCCATCAAGCAGGTATCAAGCAAGTACCCAAAGCCACACAAGGAAGCCATGGCCCATGGATATTCACAAAGTAGGGTGCCTGACAGCTGAATGGATAGTGCTTCGGATTCATAGTCCTGAGGTTCCGGGTTCGATCCCTGGTGAAGGCGGAGACAAATGGGCAAAAAGTTTCTTTCACCCTGATGCCCCTGTTACCTAGCAGTAAATAGGTACCTAGGAGTTAGACAGCTGCTACGGGCTGCTTCCTGGGGGGAGGGGTGTAACAAAAAGAAGGCCTGGTCGAGGACCGGGCCGCAGGGACGCTAAGCCCCAAAATCATCTCAACATAATCTCAAGTACCAGAGACCAGATTCATGAAGCAGTTACGCAAATATTTACGAACGTGAATATCTTTTCTCAATCTCTAACAGCTTTGGATATATTTATTAAACAGTTTACAAGCATGAAAACTTCCCAATCATCTGTTGTTATTATTATAAACAGCCTCTTGGTTCTTCGGAGCTCATTAACGGTTTAATAATTGTAAACAAAGCCGCTAAAGATTGCGAAAAGATGTTCAGGTTCGTAAATGCTTGCGTAACTGCTTCGTGAATCTGGCTCCAGACTGCCAGAACGCTGTTCAACCTCCAGAACACCTGTGCTTGAATGTTAACCCACAATGTACAGTATTAGCTAAAACCACCAAAAGGGCAGCATATTTGTGAACATCTTGGGCACAAGGGTAGATTGTGCACCCACACTTAAATGTGTATATTCTTTCCAATGTTCTGACCTCAATTTCTGTGCTACGCTGTTCATTTTGGTATCAAATTGTTTGCAATCTAAAGCCGTGCATTTTGAAACTAATCCAATAATAATCGAACAATAAATGGAATTTTAATAAATTTGAATTTTGGGTGCAAAATTTTTTTCCGCCGGACATCCATAGAGTTAATTGTGGACACAACATCCATCGCTGCGAGCTGAAAGTGTTAATGACACTCCAGATGTCCTAGAAATATGACCCAAGGAAGGAAGTTTACAGGATCCACCCACAAAGTATCCACTGACACAAAAGAGGTGGCACAAAGGTAGCGACACAGCACCGTTACCGAACACAAGACATTATGCACCCCCCGGCCAAACCAATTAAGCTAATCACCAAGGGACCCCTTCGGAATCCACCCAACTTATTCTTTGCAAAAATGCAGATGCCAAGCTTCTCGAACTTCACAGGGCAACGGACTGAAATGACCCCCCCTCTCTTCCATGGTTTAGGCAGTCAACCACCGAGAAACCGTTACAGTGAAGCAATAGCACAGAGCCCAAAGAAAAGCTAATCTTCCTCGGGAATGTCACACGGCTACAAACTCGTACACCATACTGTGCATCCAAAGGAATGAGCCTGAGCGCCAACTTTGGGCAGCCTGGTGAGCACTAGTCACAAAACCCTATCCAATAGCTGAGGTGTCTGTGAACACATTGAGTGATGGGAAAAGATGGCACCACAGAACTGAACCCCTAAAATTCTGAAGGCAAAGCCAGCAAGGTAAGAACTTATGAAGGGCGGGCGGGGCATGAACCCATGGTCTCTACATCAGTGAAACAGGTGGAAACTAAGAAACTGATACAACATCCGGAACCACCAAATCTGTGCAGAGGAAACACTATGCTGACAAAGTTCAAACTCCTGCACAACTGCTCAACCAACCAGCAAGTTAATCAAGTCTAATTCAACACCTAATGGTGATGAAGCTGCAGGTGGAGCAACACTGCCAAAGGCAGGGACAAAGAAACTGACTGAGAGTCCCAAACGAGGCCCAGCCTAGTCCAAGCCTAGGACGGAAACAACTGGGACTTCCTTCAGTTCATCTGGAACCCAAACCAAAAGTTTGAATTCCAAACCAAGCAATAAACCAGATTTCTGGTCAGCTGACATGCAGACTGGCTGGGGGCCCACACCAGCCAGTCATCGAGGTAGGTCAACACACGAACCACTAAGAGATGTAGCCAGGCCACAATGAACCATGCTAGCGTGGTAAACACAGATTCAAGACCAGATTAAAGCTGAAGGGAAAAAAACATTAAATGGTAAGTCTGATGCCCCCACAACAAAACCTAACTAGTCCCTGATCCTGGGATGTATCTGGACATGGCAATAAACATCCAGAAGTTCTAGAGACTCCATTGAAGCTCCAGCCTGTAATATCAAGTGTACATGGATAATGAATGCAGCTATTCACCCTCAAAAAATCAAATACATAACGTAAATCTACTGAATCCTACTTCGGAACCAGGGAAAACTGGAACACTCACTAAAGCAACGAGTTCATCTCGATAACACCAGCAATGACCCTTGGCAATGCGTTGCCAAGGAGGCTTCTGGACCCACTTGACCCAACACCAAGAATGGGGAAGGGACAGACCAACCCCACCACAGACCAAGAGGCAACCAGAAAAGTTCATAAATCCTGGGACCAGGAGCTGGCAATAAGGGTAAACATGAATGCCTCCGCACCCCATGGCAAGGTGAACCGCGAAAATGAACCATGAGTAGAACCAACCTTCTGCAACATGTGGCTGTCATCGAGCTGAGGAGGAACTTGCATCAAGCTGTACAACGGCCCGAGAATGAGGCCCACTCGAGGACCTACCATAACCAACAGCAGTCACGTTTCCCACCCTATCCAACTGCCTCCGAATGGGGGCAGAACCCTGAAAAAAAAAGATTATTAGGGCAGCAAGAGAAAGCTTTTGTGGACAAAATCTGTGTTATTTTAACTTGTGTTAGTTATTATTCTAATATACAAACCGCCAAATGCAATGGCCGAAGAATTCACAGAACCGATAAACAAAATAGAGAATAGCCTTGATAATTTGGAGAACCCAATACCTGATATTATCTTCCTAGGTGACTTCAACTTGCCTAGTCTAAGATGAAGAATAGCAAATAATAATAATATACCAGGAAATCTATTGGGACCTAACCAACCACAGATTAGAGAACTACTTAGATTCTGTGACAAATTTTCACTCAACCAGCAGATATCAGAGCCAACAAGAAATGAAAATATTCTAGATCTGGTCTTTACAAACAATGAAGACATAATCAGGGACATTACAATATCAGATACCACATACTCAGATCACAAGCTCATTGAAGTGCAAACTACCATCACTACTCAGAATAGACATAAAACGTTGATCAAGCGAGAGGGGTTATTCAGTAATTTCAACTTTAATAATAAAAGGATGGTCTGGGAGAAAATAAACAGGGAACTTACAAACTCGGTTGTGCCGGTCTTTTCTTTCGGGGCTGGTGCTCTGGTGGATGACTCGGCCCCGGGTCCTGTGGAGGAGAATCCTGTGGCGGGGGAGGGGCTGACTTGGGGGCCTTGGGCCCTGCTGGACCCTATCTGGGTTTTTCTACCCTCTGAGCGGGGCTTATTGTTACTAGGAGTGGGGTTCTCTTTTTCCCCCCTCTGCGTACGAGTTGGATTTGGTGTCTGCCCCTCCCCAGGTTCGGTTCCGTCCTTCCGGAGGTTTTCGGCTTACCGCGTCCTACCGTCTACAGTGTGGACAGCCCTTGCAGCTTACAACTGCGCGACCGGGATTATGCCTTGCTTATGGATCTGTCTTCTTTCAGGTTTGGGCCGTCGTTCCCTTTCTGGGTCCTTTACAAGGTTCCAGAGTCGTCCTGGATGGCGAACTCTCCTGTGTTTGCTTTGGAGGCTTGGCATTCCTTCTGTCGTTCCCGCACGCTTGAGTGGCGCGAGGCTTCGACGGTGGTTCAGGTTTTCCTGGGGAGCGACCTTGAGCACCTCAATGAGTGCTTGTTTGCCCCAGCCCTTTCCCGAGATGTTGGCATAGTGCAGCTCCATGTGCAGGTTCCTTCCCTTTCGGCTGCACAGGTTGCTGAGGACTTGGGCGTCCGTGGCCTCTTGGCTTCAGCCTTGCATTTCTTTCCTCTCCTGGAGCTGTCTTCTGACTGGCCTGCGGAGGATGTGGGGACGCTTGGGGCCGTTCCTGGGTCCGGTGCCTTGGGCTCAACGGCTCCCTCGTCGGCTGCCGTGTTGAAGTTTTTGTGCCAATCTTGCGGGATGCAGTTTCTCTGTTTAATGCTTCCCAGCTCGAATGTCGGCAGGCAGTGCTTGCCTCCTCTCTGGAATCAGCCTGGGCCCCTGGCTCTTAGGGTGTCTTCGCCTTTTTGTCCTCTTCTTTTTGCACTTTCGGCTCTGGCACAGTATATTCAGGCTGCTTTAGTCAGTTGCCGTCCTATGTCGGACTTGTTGGTTCTCCAGGGGTCCCTGGAGGGGCCTTCCCGGAGGAGTCGTGCAAGGGCTTGGGGTTGCACTCGTCGTGGTAGGTCACAGGTGCTAGTTTCGGGCTCATCTCCGCCTTCGGACCCACCTTCGTCGGGTCGGTACGGTGTTCACTCTGTGCGAGGCTCTGGGTCTCATAAGGGGCGCTGGCCCTTTTACAGTTCGCCCTATTGACGAGGTGAAGGGGGGAGAGGCTTGCGCTGTTCACTCATGCCTGGTCCCACGATTTGTGGGTGTTTCATGTCGTTTCCTTCGGCCTGAGGTGGCGTTGGGTGGCCCCTCTTCCTTCGGGGGGTTCAGGGCTGGCGGGGCAGGCCTCTTCCACTGCACTCAAATTGGGATACCTGTGCCCTATTCCAGGGCACAGGTATCCCAATTTGTCCACAGGATTCTTTGGTCCAGCCAGCCTGCAGTTTTTTCCCGTGCCCACGCCGTTCGCAAGTTTGGCATTCGGCTGCTGTTTTGGTAATGTCCTGGCCTATCTTTTGGGCACGGGGCTATTGGAGGTCGAACAGGGTCCTGGCTGCACGTTATCTTGTTAATGTTCCAAGTCCTTCTCGGGCGTGTTTAGCCTTAGGTCACAGGTTGCGGCCTGTCATCTCAACTTTGAGTTGACGAGCAAGTGACGACCACTTCCTGGGCGAGTCCCTTTTCTTCTTATCTTTGGTTAGGTTGCTTCGGGGAGCCGAAAGGGCTCTCCGCAGAAAACCAGCGTTGAATGTAATGAAACACCATTTTCTGAGGGAGACCCAGGGGGTTCCTTGGCATCCCACCCTCTCTCTGGTCGGGTTTTTTTTTTTTTTTTTTTTTTGCTTTTCGCGTTTTGTTTTTTTATACTCGGCCTCTGAACTGAGGAGAGTTCCTGGCTTGGAGGTGTGGGACCCCACCATCCCCCTCCCGGGGAGGGGGAGGGTGTGGGACCCCACCATCCCCCTCCCGGGGAGGGGGAGGGTGTGGGACCCCACCATCCCCCTCCCGGGGAGGGGGAGGGTGTGGGACCCCACCATCCCCCTCCCGGGGAGGGGGAGGGTGTGGGACCCCACCCTCCCCCTCCCGGGGAGGGGGAGGGTGTGGGACCCCACCATCCCCCTCCCGGGGAGGGGGAGTGTTGAGCAGACGGATGTGCGGCAGTTCTGGTGAAGTCGTGTTTGTTTCCTTGTTTTTGATTTGGGAGTTCTGTTTGCTAGTTCAGCTTTTGGTTTGCAATTTTTGACCAGCAGTAGTTTTTGAAATTCCTACCTTTCTGGGTGCCTGACCCAGTAGATGGCAGACAAAGACTGCTTCCAATGACACTGCAGTGTCTTCAGGCCATTGCTCCTCTTGCCTCTTTTGAAGGGACCCAGGTTGTGGCTCTGGTCCCCAGTAGGCTTAGAACTCCTTCGATTGACTGTTGCCACGGTCTAATACATACACATCAGCCCGGTATAGCTCCGGGAGCCTTCGGGTCTCGCCCAGAAAATGGCGTTTCATTACATTCAACGCTGGTTTTTTTTCCACTAATTAGATTAAGCTTGATTTATTATAGACAGATTGCGCATTAATGTGTGTGTACTTTTCAGAACATTTTCCTGGTATCCCTGGATACATGCGTTGTGTGGTTGATCTGTGCAAGGCCCAAGGATTCCTCACAACAATATTCAACCGTCGACGTTTCTTCCCAGGCATAACATCACAGGATTCAGCTATTCAAGCTCAGGCTGAGAGACAGGCGGTCAATTTTGTCATCCAAGGTGTGTGTATATATCGACAGACATATTTGCTCTTATTTATTTATTTACCATAGCAAAACATAGTCTGAAATGGTTGGGACTGAATAATTTCTAGTACCACACATTTCCAGATATGGTTATAGTACACTTTCTGGGGGGGAGCACCTTCGGCTCCCCGGAGCTTACTAGGCTGATATGCTAATGTCAAACTTTACCATCAGTCATGTGTATGGAGTTCTGTGGGCCTACCGGGGAGTACGAGCCAGAACCTGGCCCCCTCAGAGAGGCAAGGGGAGCAATGGCCTATAGACACTCCCGTGTGGTTGGAAGCACTCTGTCTGCCATCGACCGGGTCAGGCACCCAGAAAGGTAAGCATCCCAAAACAAACCTCTATTCTGGTGAAAATATTGCTACCAAAAGCCAAACAAGTGGATAGAACTCCCATAAAAGAAACGAGCAAACGAGCATGACGTCACATGTCGCCGCGCCGCTGTCTCTTCAGGTTCCCCTCCCCAGGAGGGGGTATGGGGAGCCCCAGACCCCCCCCACGCCGGCTATCCACCCGTCAGTTCTTAGGCTGATGCTAGAGGTTCCAGTCGTGTGCTCTGGCTCCAGTGATAGTTTCAGCACTGCTTTGAGTGTGGTGGCTGTCTTGTAGGGGTGCGAGAGCCAGGAGTTATTCTCCAGTACTCGGGATGCATGTGCCTCGTGTTCCCTTCCCTAGGTGCCCTGTAAGTACTGCCCTTGGGGCTACCTTTCACAAGTTCCTTGGGTCCTGCCTCTGCTGGGCCGTTTTACTGCTCGGTTTTACAGCTGCCCTTTGGGTACTTGGGCATTTTGTCTTCCATGTTTACCTTAGGGTAAGAGGCAGTTTGCACTGGTACGGGGTGCAGGGTGCTGTGCAGCTTGTTTTCACCAATTATAGTGGCCAGCTGTGTTCCTATAGGGTACGCTGTCCTCTTGCGGGGTTTTCTTTTTTTTTTCTTTCTTTTTGCCCTGTGGGGGATCTGCCCTGCTTATTGCCCACTTGTGCTCGACCTATTACGGCTCTTCTCTGGTGGTGCCCCCTGCTAGGTCCCCGTGAATGTACACGTCCCTGGGGTTCAGCATTAGTGAGTTTGCTTGGTAGTTTTGGGCGCCGGTTAGCAATACCCTGCCTGGGGTTACCTGGGCGTTAGTCTCGTTAAGCGCTCACGGCCCTAGGAGTCCCCTCAGGGGCTTGTGGGTCCGATGGATGTGACCCCGGAGTTCCCCCCTCACGTCGTGCAAGTTTGAGAGTTGTTCGGTCCCCTTGTCTCATGTTGACCCTCACTGTTTTTGCCTCCGTCACGCTGCCTGTTGGGTATGACACTTTCGACCCTGAATCCTGTAAGTTCTGCTATTTGCTAGTGACTCAATTTACCCAGTCTAGTGATGATCTTATACGGGTAAAGGCAGCGCAGGTGTTGCATGCGCATTTTAGGTTCCTGCAACGCACTCGGTTGGTTGCAGGAACGCATTGAGGCGCTCCAGGCAACCTGGAGCGCCTCAATGAGTGCTTGTTTGCCCCTGCCCTTACCCGGGATGTGGGTGTGGTGCAGCTCCATGTGAAGATTTCCTCCCTCACGACTGCGCAGGTTGCTGAGGACATGCGCACCCGTGGCCTTTTGGCTTCGTCCTTGCGTTTATTTCCCTCCTGGAGCTGTCTTCGGACTGGCTTGAGGAGGATGTAGGGACGCTCGGGGCCGTCCCTGGGTCCAGTGCCTTGGGCTCGGCGGCTGCTTTGCTGAAGCTGTTTGCGCCGATCCGCTGGGTAGCAGTTTCCCTGTTCTATGCTTCCCGGTTCGCGTGTCAGCAAGCGGTGCTTGTCTCCTCCCTGGAATCAACCTGGGCCCCTGGCTCTTAGGATGTCTTCGACATTTTGTCCTATGCTTTTTGAGGATTCTGCTGTGGCGCAGTATATTCAGGGCTGCTTCAGCTACTTGTTGGCCTATGTCTGACTTGTTGGTTCTCCGGGGTGTCCCGGGGGAAGGGGGGAGGCCTTCCCGAAGGGGTCGTGCCAGGGCTCGGGGGTTCCTGTCATCGTGGTAGGCCACAGGTTCCAGGTTCGGTTTCGGCCCTGCCTTCGGTCCTGCTTTCGGTCCCGTCTTCGTCTGGTTGGCGCGGTGGTCGCTCTGTGCGAGGTTCTGGGCCTCGTAAGGGGCACCGGCCCTTTTGCTGTTCGCCCTATTGACGGGGCAATGGGGGGAGGCTTGCGCTGTTCGCTCACGCTTGGTCCCACGATTTGTGGGCATTTCGGGTTGTTTCTCTCAGCCTGTGGTGACATTGGGTGGCCCCTCCTCCTTCAGGGGGAAAGTCACGTGGCTGGTTCGATCTTCTCCTCGAGTTTTCGCATATGGTATTTTTGACTGGAGTTTATCATCATCTCTATGGTGATCAGGTGGCTTTGGGACTGGGGGGCCAGGCCTCTTCCCCTACGCTCTGTCAAGTCATCTTGGAGTGGGTTTGCTTGGGCGTGGTCGAAACGACGACGTCCCTCAGATGGGTTTCCCGTCTGTTTCCAGTACCGAAACGGGACTGTGCGGGACCTGCTGTTCATTCCAGCCTATGTTCATAGGCTATGTTCATAACCTATGAACATAGAATAATACTATGTTCATAGTATTATTGTATACTATGAACAATAATCTATGTTCGTGATTATTGATACACCTTTTGCCACTTTAGCACTCATAATGTCCTTTTTCTTAGCAAGTATGGTGGATATCGTTGACTGAGATTTGTTGTACTGCCTAGCTAGTTCAACAACCTGCACACCATCATCATATTTACAAATGATCTCTTGTTTTTGATCTCTGGTCATCTTTACTTGGGTTTTCATATGTTGAGCCTTACCACTGACTTTCCTGGGACCCATGGCGTGATATATAATAATTACTTTTATGTTCAAAAGGCAAAAAATCACCACAAAAATGAAATTTCTTATAGGCGTGATCGTCACTAATCGGGCAGCTGTAGTAAACTGAGGCAGGTCGGCCCATGTGACCGGGAACTACGCACTCGGTCGACCCAAACGTGTACCAACAAATATCATTAGTCGACGACACCATCGTATGTCGAGTTGCATTTTTCGATCAAATTTACATCGTAACTCAAAATTATCGTAAGTCGGGGCAATCGTAAGTTGAGGTGCCACTGTACTTATCTTGACAAAAAAAGATGATGATAGAAACACAAAAGCAGGCGCTTGCTCGATGTAAACAAACCAAGTGATGGTATCCCAGCACACCAGTGGATGACAGCTCAGGTTACCCTATTCTTCCAACTGGCCACCAAGCTTGTGTTTCTCAGATCTTCTGCTGTGTCCTTCCTTTATGCCAGCCTGCAGTCTGCCCTTCTGCCCCTGTTGTCTGCCGCTCTGTTGGTTGTAAAGTGTGTTTTGGCATGTTCTTGGGCCACTTTCCGAACACAGAGTTTTACTGTTCATTCGTGATCTTGGCACCTAGTGTCTTGCAACTGTTCTGGGTCCTTGGCAAACCTGTGGCACTTTGGATCATGTGTTGCAGTTGCCTATCTCTGCTTTGAGTTGATACCTGTGGTGCTGCCACTTCCCAGGTTAATGCACCTTCTTTTACTTTCTCTGTGGGGTTGTTAGTTTCAGGGAGCCAATAGGGCCTTCCTCAGAAAACCAGCATTGAATGTAATGACTCGCCAATTTCTGGGACAAACTAGCAAGCACTAGTTTTATGAAATTATTATTTGTTTTTATTGTTGGACACTTTGGCAATTTTGTGGCTGCAGTCTCGTTTTTAACCGTGCAGTAGTCTGTTTTGATTCACCTATCTTAGTGTGTGCTTTCCCTTGGATGGTGGGAAAGATAATACACTTTATATTTAAAGTATTCATAAGCCACCATTCCCTGTGCCTCTCTGAGGAGGCCAGGTTCTGGCTTGTGGTCCCCGGTAGGCCAATAGAGCTCCTTAACGGATGGCACCAAGTAGTATGGCACTTAATCAGTGTGATAGCTTCAGGGAGTTGACAAGATTTTCCCCAGAAATATATATTGAATGTAACATTAATAATACCACAGACTAAGATCTTTGAAATTAAATATTGGTCCAACAAGTAGGTGTACTATGTAATTCACAACTTGGGTTGCTACCTAGTGGTGAGCTGACACATCATAGTTTGGGTCTTTACCCAATGGTAATGACCATTTGCTTTATTACTTTTGGGTACCTAATGTTTGTCAAAGAGTTTTAAGTTGATCTCTTATCCCCACGCTTCTCTTGCCTCATAGAGCGAGCCAAATATTGGTCTTGGCTCCCAGTAGACAGAGGTGGATCTGAGAGGCTTGGTGCATCTCCCTCGGTCTTGGCTTGACAAATGGTTAATTCTGGGAGCTGCTGATGACACCATTGTGAATGGGAATGTCATGACATTTAACATTGTGAAATAATTTGATACACAAGTCTGTCTTCAAATATTGTTATTTCTGTTTTCAAACTGTTTATATTTTGTGAATTTATTTATGATCATCAGGTTCAGCAGCAGACATTAGCAAAGCAGCAATGGTGCAAACAGAAGCAGCCCTTGCCTCCCGTCGTGACCTGGATGCCAGGCTCCTCATACACATTCATGATGAACTGGTGTGGGAAGTTTCAAATGATCATGTCAATACATTTATTAGTGAGTAAACACCTAAAAAATTATACCTTTTAATTTATCTATTTGCTGTATGTTGAGTGCATCATTTCTCATTATTTTCTGGAGGCAAATGTAATCTCCTGAATGCATTTATATTTTTTGCACAACTCCTCACTGACACCCAGCCCATCCACATGCTCGCTACTGTATTAGTGTAGCACAGTGGTGTATGTCCTCAACTCAAAGATGGAGCTGGGTTTAATCCTTGGGCAGGACAGAAATAGCTGAGTATGTTTCCCTTCACCTATTGACTTTGTTCACCTGGCAGTAAATAGGCACCTGGTTATTAGGCAGCTGTGTGTTTGTTAATTGTTCCCTCCAAGGGTAATTACCCAAGTGTAGTTACAGGATGAGAGCTTTGCTTGTGGTGTCCCGTCCTCCCAGTATTCTGTCATATAATTTTTTTTATTTATATATACAAGAGTTCTTACATTCTTGTACAGCCACTAGGACATGTAGCATTTCGGGCAAGTCCTTTATCCTATGTTCCCTGGAATACGGTCCCAACAAAGAATCGTTTTTACTACCAAGTACCCATTTTACTGTTGAGTTAAACAGAGGCTACAGTTAAGGATTTGTGCCCAGTAAATCCTCCCCGGCCAGGATACGAACCCAAGACAAAGCGCTCGCGGAACTCCAGGCGAGCGTCTTACCACTACACCACGGAGACTGCAAGATCACACGATAATACTTTGAAACTACTTATTGTTTTGGCCTCCACCATCTTCTCATTTAACTTGTTCCATCCATCTACCCCTATTTACAAAAGAAAACCTTCTAATATTTTGTGGCACATTTGTTTCTTTAGCTTGAATCTGTGTCCTCTTGTTCTTGAAGATGCTGGTTTCAGGGATTCCTCTGTTAATTTGGTCAATTCCTGTTATTATTTTGTAAGTGGTGATCATATCACCTCTTTTTCTTCTATCTTCTAGTTTTGGCATGTTTAATGCCTCTAGCCTCTCCTTGTAACTATGTATTTCAGTTCTGGAAGCCATTTTGTAGCATGCCTTTGCACTTTCTGTAGTTTATTGATGTGCTTCTGGAGATAAGGGCACCATACAACTGCTGCATATTCCAATTTTATTCTCACAAAAGTCATGAACAGTTTCTTTAGTATTTCACCATCCATGTAATTAAAAGTCTGAAGTTGGAAAGCAACACATTCACTCCTCACACAATGTTCATGTGTTCCTTTGGTGACAGTTTACTCTCCAAAACCACCCCTAGATAGAGATCCTTATTAGAGTGCTTTAACCCCTGGGCTGCTCTTGTAATTATAGCCTGCAACACACCTAGGCGCAAGAAATAAAAAAGAAAATCATCTTATAAAAGTGTTCATTTGTGTTCCCTGACCACGGGAAAACAAAAAGAAATCGTAGGTAACATATTTTGGCTGCAATAGGGAGAGAAAGTCTGGCAAAATTGAGGCGTTGACAGACAATTGTCGGAGGCTGTCAGCTCCGCCTGAGCTGTCAGACGGGAGTTGCCACAAAGATGATGATATCTGATTATTTCAATGTGTCTGATTTTTTCAAAATATTTCTGTGGAGAGCCCCTACAGCTCCCCGGAGCTATATCGGACTGATGCGCATATATTAGACTGTGACAACAGTCAATCAGTGGAGTTCTAGACCTACAGGGGACCAGAGCCTGAACCTGGCCCCCCTCAAGAAGAGGCACAAGGAGCAGTGGCCTAAGGACATCTCTGTGTAATTGAAAGTAGTCTTTGTCTGCCATCTACTAGGTCAGGCACCCAGAAAGGTAGGAATTCCAAAACAAACTACTGCTGGTCAACAATTGCATACCAAAAACTGAACTAGCAAGCAGAACGCCCCAATCAAAAACAAGGAAACAAGGATGACATTACCACAACCGCCATGCATCCGTCTGCACAACCCCTTCTCCTTCGTGGTTCATTGTCTGAACCGCGGGGGTTTGATGCGGTCTTTGGCTCTTTGGACTGGTCACTTTGGGTGACTCGTCTACTGAGTTCTTGGGGGTTTGATTCTCCTGGCAGTTCACGTTCAGGGGGGTGTCAAACGTCCTGTCTCGGTTCCTTCCCCTATCAACACAATGGACGGTCGACGCTGACTTGTTCAGTTGGCTCTGCCGAACGTACAGGCGCCCGGAGGTGGACCTCTTCGCATCGGCGTGGTCGAGGCATCTTCCAGTGTATGTGGCACCCTTCCCAGACTGCGAGGCAGTCCGTGCTTAAAGGTCGGTGCCTTTAAGCTGGACTGGTCAAGGTGGGGTTACCTGTACCTCTTCCCACCAGTTCAGTGGTTGCTCCGGGTCCCTAGCTCACTTGGAGACTTACCAGGGGAGAGTAGTTCTGTTGGTCCCTTGGTGGCCAGCCCAGCCCTAGTTTCAGGCGTTTCTTGCTCGATGTCTGAACCCGAGGGTCGGACTTCGCCTCTTTCAGCAGATCGGTCCGGTCTGGTACGTGACTGGTTCGATGTTCTCCTCCACTCTTCGGGTCTGGTCTTTTTGACGCGGGTTTATCACCCCTTGTATGGTGATCAGTTGGCTTCGATGATGGTGTCCCACCTGCGAGTTTCGTCGCGATGGCAGTACGAAATTTCCTAGCGGTCCTTTTGGCACTTTTTGTCTCTTTGTAGGTTGTCATGTCCTTTCTTTCATGGTTGCTTCAGGACCGTCATCTTATGCCGAATACTGCCACCTCGTATCGTGCAGCGCTGGCGGAGCTGCTGCAACTTGCTTTCAGTATTGATGTTACTTCTGCGCCATTTCGCAAGCTGTCTTTTGCATTGTTACACCTCCGGCCTGCTCATGTGCCTGGTCCTTGGATCAGGTACTCTCATATCTTTCTTCTCCTTGGTTTGTTGTGGCCCTTTGTGGCTTAAGGCTGCCTTCCCTAAGTGCCCTGTAAGTACTACCCTTGGGTTCTAGGGTTCTCTTCCCTAGGGCCTTCGAGGCATCACTTCCATAAGGGTTCCTGCTGCTCGGCATTTACCCCGCCCTTGGGGCCAGCTTGGATTTCGTGGCCCTGGTTTGGCTCTGAGTAGGGTGGTGGTGGTATTGCTGGTTGGGGCACAAGGTGCTGCGCAGCTCGCCTAGCTAGCGGCGGCCGTGTTTCCTGTTGTTGTTGTGCTTTTGTGGAGCTTTTCTTTTCTTTTTGTTTCTTGCATGCTGCTGACTCCCAAATGTCTGAGGGTTTTGGAGTCGGGGCAGGGTTTAGGTATGATGAGACTATGGTGGCTCTGGAGGCTGCCCAATTCGAGCCGGAGACGGAGGCATTTGAGCCTGATCCTCCTGCCGAGGCTTCTGGGTCCTACCAGCAGACTTGGCAGTTCTCGAGACTTGTAGACTAGCAGTTCTTAGCTGTCTTTCCTCTGAACTTGACCTTTTCTTCAGGGGTGGCATGCATGGAGGATGGCTCCGCCCCTGGGTCTTCAGGGGCTGAGGGAGGAGTTCCCCTGGGGTTCTTGGACCCCCATTTGATCCTGCTTGGGTTTTGGTGCCCTTGTCACGAGGTTTGTTGTTGCAGGGAGCGGGATTTTTGTACCCCACTTCACTGTATGAAATTGATTTGGGGTCGACTCCTCTCCGGGTTCGGTTCTGGGTTCCCTTGGGTTCCTCGGCTCCCTCTTTCTGGAGGTTTTGTGCCTCTCGCATTCCACCTAAGGAGGTTCGGAAGGCTCCGCCCGAACCGGGGCCTTCGTCTGGGGCACTGGCATTGGCTGTGCTGTTGAAACTGTTTGTATCGTGCGACAGTGGCAGACCTTGCGTTCGGGGTGGATGTCACTTCTGCTCTGTTCAGCAAGTTATCCTGTGTATGTTGTTTCACCTCCGGCCTACTCATGCATCCCCTGAGCCGTCCAGTCATTAGACAGGGTGCTCTCTTTTCCTTTCTCCTCCTCGGTTTGTGGTGGCCCCTCTGGTTCAGGATTGTTTTTCTAAGGTTCTTTTCTTGTTGGCATTGGCTTCTGGGGGCCAGGTCAGGAAGCTTCATGCTCTCCTCCAGCACAGGGGTTTCTGCTCTTTTGGTCCTGGTGGTCGGTTTGTTCGTTTGCATCCATCTCCTTTTCTGGCGAAGAATGAGACTGTTACTTTCCGGAGGGGTCCTTCGGTGGTGGTTGATGCTTGGTTGGTTCGGCCGGGGGTGCATCATGTATTGTGTCTGGTTGCGGCTCTTTGCCATTACTTGCGCGCCACAGCCTCGGTGACTGGGGACGTGCTTTGGGTTTAACCTGGTTTCCCTTCTTCCCTGTTCCATGGCGCGGGTCTCCCAGGTCGTCCGCAGGGTTATTCGGTCCAGCCAGCCTGCGATCTATCTCCGTGCCTACAACGTTTGTAAGTTTGCGGCTTTGGCTGCTGTTTTAGGTAACATGTACAAGGCTGACATTCTGGCACGGGGGTTTTGGCAGTCAAACAGGGTCCTGGCCACACGGTACCTTGTTAATGTTCCTGGCCCTGCTCAGGTGTGTGTAGCCTTGGGTTGCAGGTTGCAGCCAGTTGTTTCGAGTTGAGAAGCAAGTGGCTACCGCCACCTGGGTTACCTGGTTGATACCTGGTTGATGGGGTTCTGGGAGTTCTTCTACTCCCCAAGCCCGGCCCGAGGCCAGGCTCGACTTGTGAGAGTTTGGTCCACCAGGCTGTTGCTTGGAGCGGCCCGCAGGCCCACATACCCACCACAGCCCGGTTGGTCCGGCACTCCTTGGAGGAATAAATCTAGTTTCCTCTTGAAAATGTCCACGGTTGTTCCGGCAATATTTCTTATGCTTGCTGGGAGGACGTTGAACAACCGCGGACCAACAGAGGGACTGGGTAAGTCCCTCTTTTTCTTGTCTTTGGTTAGGTAGCTCCGGGGGGCCGGAGGGGCTCTCCACAGAAAACCAGTGTTGAATGTAATGAAATGCCATTTATTGGGCAAGTCCCTGAGGCACTTCGGCAACCCTCTCTTCTTCCAGTCGACAATTTTTTGTGTTTTTGACATTCAGCCTCTGAACTGAGGTTGAATAGCCGGCATGGTAGGGTTGGGGCTCCACCTTCCCCCTCCCAGGGAGGGGGACAGCTGCGCAGACAGCAGCATGGTGGCGATGGTGACGTCAAGCTTGTTTTGCTTGCTCACGTGGCTTTTGGTGACAAATTTTAACCAGCTGTAGTTTTTGAGATGCCTACCTTTCTGGGTGCTTGACCTGGTAGATGGCAGACATAGACTGCTTCCAACCACATGGGGGTTTCTATAGGCCATTGCTCCTCGTGCCTCTCTGGGGGGGGGGGGCCAGGTTCTGGCTCGTAGTCCCCGGTAGGCATAGAACTCAAATCTAATTGACTGATGCCACGGTCTAATACATATCAGCCTGGTAAGCTCCGGGGAGCCTCCGAGACTCACCCAGAAAATGGCGTTTCATTACATTCAACACTGGTTTTTTGTTTCTTTTAATATTTCAGATATTATTTGGGGCATAATGGAAGATACACGCAAACTGTGTGGGCCATTTGTGCAGGTGACTGTTCCGTTGCCCGTTGCTGTTTACAGTGGAGCTAATTGGGCTCACCTGCAGCCTTGGATAAGCAAGTGAGAATCTTTTGTCATAGTCTCATTATAAAAGTTCATAATACTGTATAATGTGTTTAGTTATTGTTCTGTTGTCATAAGTGTGTGATAATTGACAGTAATTAAGGGATTCATACAAATGTAACTGATAGTGCTTAAGTTATGGGAGTGATTATCACTTGCTTCAACTGTGATAAGAGTTACTTTGTGTTGAGATATATGCAGGCTTCTAAAAGAGTACCCTTGATATTCCTCCCTTCCTACTGTATATACACATCTGTATCTCACTTTATTTTCCTCATTATTATTTTAAGAATGTATTTCAGTTGACTTTAAATATGTAGTCCATTAAATTAATTACTTAATATTGGATAAAAATCTTGCTAAATTACCCATGTATGCAGATGTCATGTTGGCTGTGAATAAATAAGGTCACTTGTCTTGTTTTGGAAGTTATCTTCCCTAATATACAGTACATTTGTTATTCTTCCAACAAATATAGTTTGCTAATATATGCTGTCTGAAAAGTTTATTATTATTATTTGTATTTAGGAATATTAGGGTATTAAACTCAAATCCAGAGTTCTTGTGTCTTTTTAAATCAATCAACTGTACCAACTAAAAGTAACATTACTTGATCTAGTCTCTCTTTCTGGAGAAGCCTCGTGGTGGTTCCCTGATGCTATCTCGCTGAGATGGCATCCCCACTACTAAGCCACATCAGCCATAGGGATCCTGTATGGCTGGGCCATACAGGGACCAGAAACACAACCTAGGCACAGGCAGCAGGGCATTATTACCATTATTATTATTATAATTATTATTATTATGGGAATTATCATCTGGGAACACTCAACGTTTGAACACTCAACGTTTGAACACTGGGTTCAAACGCTCATCAAGGCTCTTGTGCATTTGTTCATTACCATCACTGTTACTGAGAAAACATTGAGAAAGTAAACGAAGCAATAGAGACAAGGTTCACCTCAAACAAAGCACCAAAACAGCCAAACGACTAGGCAAATGATTCGCTGAAATCCAGACAACTCGCTGGAAACTAGCTCAATCAGCCACACCCCAGGAGATCCAGACTGCCATGCCAGCAATGAGTCTGTCCTGTTGTTGATATCTGAGAGCATTCACACCTTCCTGAATCACCAGCTGTAGTGAGTCCGACTTCTTTAGAAGATAAGTGTGGGAAGCATCTCTTGGAATTTGTTCTGTGGGAGCCATTTGCTCGTGTGTCTTTCCTGACATACAGTATGTATTTGCTTTATTTACATTTGCTTCATATGCATTTGTTTATAAGCTCACTTATTGCTCAATCTTCGCTTCAATCAGCATGCGTTTAAGACATCCCTTCCCTAAGCGCTCGTTTATTATTGTCCCTGCACTGACAGTGACTTTTCTGGTATACTGGGGAGTTAACCCCTGAGAGGCCAGGATGCTGTATGGGGAGCTTCATTCTAGCTATTGCAAAACTCTGACTCCTTTGTGGGGCCCCGCAGTTTGAGTTGTTTAGGGTGTTTACCATTGCTGGAACTGATGATGGAAAAACTCCTAAATGACTCCTAGCACGCCTTACCAAAATCACTCCTCGGGCTGCCTTACCACAAACCACAACCACCAGCACAATGAGTAAGAACTCCCCCCCCCCTCCCCCTCCAGCTGTACAAACCTCCCAATGACCTGCCACTTTGACTAAGAAACCATATAAACCATATTCTCCCACGACACATCCAACCACTCCCAGATATTCAACACGATGTACTACTGGCACATCAAAGAAGACCGATGTAATCACATCCCAGATGTACCAATTTGAAATACGACAATATAACAACCCATCTTCAACTAACCTACCTAACATTATTTACCCCAACCTTACCTAACATTATACACATCAACCCCCTTACTAAATGTATTCTACCTTACCTTACCTTACCATAATCTGTCCTAACCTATCCGATTTACGCCCAACTCTCAAACTCAGTCTTTTGCCTAAACCTCACACTTTTCATAAAACAGCAACACTTTGATACCACCATTAACACAATTCCTTATCTTTGCCATCCTGAGTCCATTTCCACTCATATGTTTATTATCCTCATTATCCTCATACAAATAGATGACATCAATAACTTCCAATCTCTGCCAAATTATAAACATTGATGTGGCACTGTGAGTGCTGCATCTTTCAACATCACCACTCGTGTAGTCATCGGAGGAAAAACCTTCATGCAAACTGCATGTATCATGAAGAAGTAGTAGTTGTGGTGCACACTAGAGTTTGTGTGCTTGTTCCTGTGGCATTCCACTGATGTCCTTCAGAGCAAGTTTATCCTGTAGGCAACATTCGATGTAAGCTCTTTTGGAGAGTGTCGCTAGTGCCTGGGTGTCCTGCTTGGTTACACTCCTTCAGGCCCTGGTAACTCTGCAGGTCTGCGGTGAGGCTTGTAATAGATCGTCTTGCTAAGCCTACACTCAATACTTGGAAGTTTGAAGTCCCTCTCTTCAAAAATACTCATTGGCTTTGCTACAGGCTGGCAGTCATTTGTTTCATCCACCATGCTGCCTATTGGGTCGGTGACACCTTCGACCCTGAAGCCTGCAACATTTACATTACCAGGTCTCTATTTTATCTGAGCCTGCCTCAGAACAGGAGGCTTATCAGATGGCTGCAGCTTTGCTGGCTCGTTTTTCCCACATTTGTAGTTCGTGGATTGCTGCTCAAAAGGATGTCTTGGGGCTCAAACAGGGTCTGCCTCCCTGTTTTCACCTTTCCTATTTGCTGTGGAGGCAAAATTTGTGTGGAGTTTCCACGGGAAATGCCACAGGAGTTTCTTCTGTAATTTTGGTTTCATTTGCTACCTTTTGGCCCCTCAGTCGAGTTCTGTCCCCCCTCGGCTCGGAGGTGATCTTGAAGGGTTGAGATTTCGCCTGATGTTGGTTGGGGTCGGCTTCCATCAGCTGACATCTCCTGTTCAATGTCACAACTATGCATTGAGGAAAGATGACTCTGCTTGAACGGTCTTCGTGGTGGCCCTTTCATGGTTATACTCTTTTGATAGTGTTGTGAGGGGAATGTGTGGTCCAAGTTGCCAGATCCTGATCCCATGATTCGTGAGTCTTGCAGGTAGTTTCCTAGGGTGTCCGGTGGAATTGGTCTACCATATTCTCTTCTGTTAGGCTCAGGGGTTTGAGCTACATGTTCTACCCTTAGCTCCATGTGGTCATTACAACGTGGTTGAATACGGGCATGGTCGACTTAACCTCCTCCCTTTGGTGGGATCCTGGTTGTTCCCAGTCCCCCAAGTTGGGACTCAGCAGACCTATTAAACATTCTCAACCTGTCTGGTCTGACCAGTTTCATTTCATATCCAACCTTTTCATATGACCACTTTTGCTCAGGGTTGTACTGGATGTGGTGTCCTTGGATCTCAAGAGTGCTTCCGACATGTTCTTATTTACCTGAGGTTCCAGGACTAGTTAGGGTTTCTTTTGAAGAAACCCTAACTAGTAAGCAGTTAAGTATCCCAAACCCTAGCTAGTAGCAGTTGGTATCTTGTGAAAAAGATAATGCTTCAAGGTTCTACCCTTTGGCATGAATCTGGCTCTTCAAATCTTTACCAGATTAACATGGGTAGTTGTGACTCGATTACATCTCTTGGGGATTCGTGTCTTGGCCTTTCTCAACAACTGGCTGCTTTGGGGTCTCGGCCAGTCCATGTGTCGGCTAGCCAGGGATTAGCTACTTACCCATCCAACCAGGTTTGGGTTCTTGAAGAACTAATGAAAGTTCCAATTGGTTCTGTCAAGGTTGGGGTTGGTTTGGGATTCCTAGTCGGTGTCTCTTTCCGTGCCTCCCACAGCTCTACTAAATACTTGCCTGCATGGTATATCCCCGTGGCAGGGTTCCTCTGGTTTCACCAGTTTTGCCACAACCTGAACTGTCGGGTTTGGGCCCTATCTGCCCATCAGCTCTTGCTTTTCCAGCTTCCTTTTTGGGCAGTTAGGGGTTGGGTTATGTGGTGCCATCCTCACCTATCACTCGATGTATTCATGGATGCCTCAGGTTTAGATTGAGGTTATGTGACCAGCGCTCGCCAAGCCTCCCATAGTTGTTGGTTGGACCTAGCTCTTTCCCATTTGGAGCTGCACTCTTTGTATAGCTCAACTTCTGGCTTCTCACAATTTTGTTCTTCTCATGTATCATGTGAAGTGTATGTAACTTTCTCACAGACAGTTTATCTTGCTTCTAACCCATTTCTGCAGAATGAACCGATGATGCATTCTTCTGTTGGCTCTGAAAGACTTTCAGTTGCCCCAAGGTGAACCTCTTTCTATCAGAATGGAACCCCAATTGTGAGGCTCTTAGGGTGGATGCCTTTTGGCTGGACTGGTCGAGGTTGGGGTTCCTGTCTCTCTCCCTTAGTTCAGATGTTGCTCTGGGTGTTGTCCAGGCTGGAGACATGCTCAGGCAAGGTGGTCCTTCTGGCTCCTTGGTTTCTGGCCCTGTGTATTTTTGTCGTGGCCAGACCCAAGTATTTTTGTTGTGGCTCCACCTCTTTCAGCAGTACAGCCAGGTTGATATCTTGCTGGTTCGACCTTCTCTGCCAATTTGTGTGTGTGGAGTATTTGACACTAGTGTCTTACCTGTGTGGGGACATCGCAGTGTTAGTACGAAGTTTGTCTCTTCGTCATGTTTCTTCTGCTGATATTCGGGGCCCTGGAGTTTTGAAGGTGGAAAAAAAAAAAAGTCCTCACAACTCCTTATCTGATTAGTGTTCCTGATGTTGGTCAAGCATGTGTTGCCCTCAATTAAGTTTTTCCATCCCAGGATCCTGTCTTTGTGAGCGTAGTTGCTGCCCTTGTCATCCCTGGTAAGTACCATGTTATGGTTATGGTATGTCTCATGGTAAGCAACCGTGAGACTACTCCAGGAAGCCAGCATTGAATGTAATGAAATGTCTATCTGGTAGGGGCTTGGTGACTCCCTAATTCCCTTCCATTGATGCAGCCTTCCTGCTGCGCCAGTTCATGGTCTGTCAACTCCAAGCTGACTCATTGTTGGTGTGGGAGTCTGGAGCTCCATGGGTGTGGCCACCTGTCAGGGGGTCTGTCACAACTAGAATTTGAGCTAGTCTGGAATGAGTCGTTTGGGTTTGAGCGAGTCGGTTGTGGAATCATTTGGTTGTTTTAGTGCTTCATTTTCTACGAGCCTTGCAGTCGTCTGTATTGCTTCACTTACTTCCTGGATGTTTTCTTTGTGAGGTTGAGTGTAACCATCCCCTCCTCCATGTGTGTCTGTCAGGAGAGCCAGGTTCTGGCTTTGGTCCCTGGTAGATCATACAGACTCCTATGTGACCCAGTAGTGGGAAGCCATCTCTGCGAGACAGCTTTACGGAGCCACCGATGCCCTACCAAAATGAAGCATTTAATTACATTCAATGGTGATTCTGCCAGTGTTTGGTTTTATAGGCAGTTAAGTTGGGAGAAGTTGGTAAATTTGGAAAGTTAGTTAGTTGATCATTAGGGATTAAGACATGTTGACAGTCAACTTTGTGCATCACAGCACACTCAGACTCTTCAGACTTCAAACTCAAACTCAGATTCAGACTCAAACACACTCAGGTTTTATTCAAGCTGTGATATCATTGATTCATAACCAGATCAATTTAAATTAAAAAATATATGGAAAATAAACTTTTTCTTACAACAGCAGAGGAATCAAATTAGAATTTGAGAAGAATGTATTATGTTGCCAGGTGTAGTTAATGTATCCTTCAGTGGAATAATGCCATTGTTAACTCTGAATGTGTTGTGAAAATTATATTAAAAGAAGTTCTACATGTTTTAGGACTCTATTTTCTGATAAATTTGATAGACTTCTCCAATGTTAAGATGATAGTTACAAGTGACAGGTAATCCGGTTATAAAGGACAATAGGTATGAAATACAAATGGACAAAAACTGAAGGACTTGGTGATTCCTTTCTCACAAGAGCACCAATGTCAGTGTGTGATGTTGTAATACACCTGTATGCCCCAGTGACACATGTGTTGGCCACCTTGTGTCTTGACCATCACATGTGTCGTGACCATCACATGTGTTGGCCACCTTGTGCCTTGACCATCACATGTGTTGGCCACCATGTGTCTTGACCATCACATGTGTTGGCCACCTTGTGCCTTGACCATCACATGTTGGCCACCGTGTGTCTTGACCATCACATGTGTTGGCCACCATGTGTCTTGACCATCACATGTGTTGGCCACCATGTGTCTTGACCATCACATGTGTTGGCCACCATGTGTCTTGACCATCACATGTGTTGGCCACCATGTGTCTTGACCATCACATGTGTTGGCCACCTTGTGCCTTGACCATCACATGTTGGCCACCGTGTGTCTTGACCATCACATGTGTTAGCCACCATGTGTCTTGACCATCACATGTGTTGGCCACCATGTGTCTTGACCATCACATGTGTTGGCCACCATGTGTCTTGACCATCACATGTGTTGGCCACCATGTGTCTTGACCATCACATGTGTTGGCCACTGTGTGTCTTGACCATCACATGTGTTGGCCACCGTGTGTCTTGACCATCACATGTGTTTGCCACTGTGTGTCTTGACCATCACATGTGTTGGCCACCGTGTGTCTTGACCATCACATGTGTTGGCCACCATGTGTCGTGACCATCACATGTGTCGTGACCATCACATATGTTGGCCACCATGTGTCTTGACCATCACATGTGTTGGCCACCATGTGTCTTGACCATCACATGTGTCGTGACCATCACATGTGTTGGCCACTGTGTGTCTTGACCATCACATGTGTTGGCCACTGTGTGTCTTGACCATCACATGTGTTGGCCACCATGTGTCGTGACCATCACATGTGTTGGCCACCATGTGTCGTGACCATCACATGTGTTGGCCACCATGTGTCTTGACCATCACATGTGTTGGCCACCATGTGTCTTGACCATCACATGTGTTGGCCACCATGTGTCTTGACCATCACATGTGTCGTGACCATCACATGTGTTGGCCACCATGTGTCGTGACCATCACATGTGTTGGCCACCATGTGTCTTGACCATCACATGTGTTGGCCACCATGTGTCGTGACCATCACATGTGTTGGCCACCATGTGTCGTGACCATCACATGTGTTGGCCACCATGTGTCGTGACCATCACATGTGTTGGCCACCATGTGTCGTGACCATCACATGTGTTGGCCACCATGTGTCGTGACCATCACATGTGTTGGCCACCATGTGTCGTGACCATCACATGTGTTGGCCACCATGTGTCGTGACCATCACATGTGTTGGCCACCGTGTGTTGTGACCATCACATGTGTTGGCCACCATGTGTCTTGACCATCACATGTGTTGGCCACCATGTGTCTTGACCATCACATGTGTCGTGACCATCACATGTGTTGGCCACCGTGTGTCTTGACCATCACATGTTGGCCACCGTGTGTCTTGACCATCACATGTTGGCCACCATGTGTCTTGACCATCACATGTGTCGTGACCATCACATGTGTTGGCCACCATGTGTCTTGACCATCACATGTTGGCCACCATGTGTCTTGACCATCACATGTGTTGGCCACCATGTGTCTTGACCATCACATGTGTCGTGACCATCACATGTGTTGGCCACCATGTGTCTTGGCCAATACACGTGGTGGCCACCATGTGTCTTGGCCAATACACGTGGTGGCTATCACCTGACATGATCATCATGTTTGGTGGCCAACGTGTAGTGGCCATCACGTGGAGGCGATTATTTGTGGTGGTGGTGGTGTTTGTGAGTGGAGACCTACTCTTCTAAACAAATTAAAACATTTTCTTCAAGTTTTTTATTTTAAATATGTATATAATTTGTTGAATATTAAGGTGTAGAATAAATTTATAATTTCACATAAATTGTCATGGATTTTCATTGTAGAATAATTAATTATACAGTAGTGTATATCCAGCGTTGTGTAGTGACTGCACTTTATAGTATGAGCTTTGAATTTAAATTTTGTTTATATATTACCTTTATTTTATTAGTATTAAACTTCATATTACATGCAGACGATGAGTCACAATAACGTGGAGTCAATAATAAGAAACCACACATTAGAAAATGAAGAAATGACGTTTCGGTCCATCATGGCCCTACACGATTTGATAATGGTCCAGGATGGACCGAAATGTCATCGTTTCTCCATTTTCTGATCACATTATAATATGCAACTAACCTTACATTATCAACTAGGGTTCAACAAATAAATAAATCTTGATTATATTTTAATTATTTTGTTACCAAGAAGCAAAATGCCACATTCAGTTTTACAAAAGTTTATTTCCTTTAAGTTGGCATTTTTAATAAAAGGAACTTAATTTTTGGGGAATTTTCATTAACCTTTTTCAAACATTGAACATGCTAGTAAGCACAGACATATCCTTGATCACGGGACATGCATATACTCAAAGCCATTTCCCACCTGACGGTATTTAAATTAGAGTTCATTGCTCCCTAAACATCCTTACATAGTACTGTACTGCAATATATGAAAAACTGTCAAATATAATGTCCCCATAACTGTGTATTAAAACACTGCTGAACAAAATCTTTGACACCTTAAGAACAGATTGCTAATGTATGAGTGTAGTCTTAACAAGATTTGACTTGGTGCATAAGCTATAAAGATCAAATTTCCTTGGACCACCATATAGAGGCAGTACACCCTGACAACATAGAGGGCAGTTGAGTGTTCCTTGGACAGCCCATCGTCTGGTCAAAGAATAAGGCATACTAAGAGGTCTTCATCCTTTAGGTCTTATTCCAACTTCTACCCGGTTATTCATTCTTCAATCCGTGCCCCTTGGCCAGGGTCATTGGTCTTCTGTTGCTGGTAACAAACTCTGTGCTCTTAAGAGTAGTGTTCCTCATGGCCTTCCTCCTACCTCCATAACCGGAAGTGGGAAATGGCTCTGACGAGGTTACGTATTGGCCATGCTCGCTTAACTCTCAGACAATGGAGTGCCGCCTTACTTCTTATTGTCCCTCTTTTGGTTGTGTATCTCCTTGTTGAATGTCTGGACTTCCAGGACGTGCATGTGTCTTGCTTCCTGACTGTCCCTCGATAGAATCTTCAGTGAATCAGATTTTGTTCACCTTCTGCACTTTAGTTCTAGTATTGGCATCCTTGGTGATATTTAGCGCCTTATGAATATCCTGCACATTTGATGGTGCTACAGTCTCCCTGGCTTTGAGCCTTCTTTTGATAAATTACTTACTTCATCTCTAGGGATGTATGCCTGGTGCTCTTATTGAACCATAAAGCCTATCATTACAGGTTTAACTCTTCCTGCTGGGAGTTTAGCCATGATTTGTAAACCAAATTCATAAATCATATGAATACTTGTGTATTTGGCACCAATGACCTCGTTTTGATGTAAGAGGAAATATTATTATAATTATTATTATTACCACTGAATGAAACCGAGTAATTCAGACTGGCATCTGATGTTATATGGGGATTTCAAGTTTGAAGAGATTTTTAGTTTTTGCTGTTTTGGGCATTCAATCTGGTACCCAAAAATCAAACACTGAATGTAATGAAACTCCCTATTTCTGTTGTGGTCGTTCGTAGCTTCCTGAGCTAAGTGCTGGTCCAGGAAAGATCCATTAGGAAGATACACCAGGACTCCGAGATCATCATTGTCTACAGTACTAGGAGCCAAGCACAGAATCGGACTCCTAGTAAAAAACTGAGGGAAAACATCCATAAAGCAACTGCTTGAAGAAAGTTAGGTACCCAAAGATAATGAAGACATGATCATTGCTAGAGGGTAAGTACCATAACCATGAAGCATCTGCTTGCCATCAGGTGGCAGCCTAGGTCACCTGAGTTTCCTGCTAGCCTGTCCCATCACTCATGAAAAAGATGGCCAGGACTTACCTGTGGATGAAGAAGGCAGAAAATGAGAAACCAAGACTCAACAGCATAAGCATGGACAGGTTTTTGGCTCTAAACAGAGCCAAAAACCAACACCCAGGTGGAACACCAAAAATTAGCCGAGCCTTGGAAAAATTGCTAAGAGGAATTTCATGTAACCCACAAAAAAGATATGGCACGGAGACAAAATTTGGAGCCCAGAGTATCAAGAGCAGTCCACCAAACCTGAGAACCAGAAACCTTGGCCAATAGCAACCAACACTGGAAAAAGCACAAAAGCAGAAACCCATGGCCCTAGTCAATTTTTTTTTTTTTTTTTTTTTTTTACTTTTTATTTATACAAGAGTTCTTACAGTCTTGTGAAGCCACTAGCACTCATAGCATTTTGGGGAGGTCCTTAATCCTACTTTTTCCTGTAATACGACCCACCAAATCATTTAACAACCAGGTACCTATTCATTGGAGTGAGAGAATATCTTCCATCAACACTCCCTGTGTTAGCTGATTGCCTTGGTCAAGCTACCTGCTCATCACCATGCATCACAAACGCTACAAGGTTAGGGGTATGCCCCTCAATGCACATACGTTCTCTAAGACAGACCTGAAGCCCTTTAAAGAAACTGACGTAACACCTATGGTCATTGGCCAGGAGGGAACGGACATCATATTCTTCTCCTCAAACGAAAAGGACCTCGATAAACTACTGCTTTACAGATACGAGATTCAAGTCAAGCACCTCCACCTCGGTTTTCCAAGGCAGTACCGTGCTGCATGATGTGTCTTTGTCAGTGAGATCAGCCAGTGGGTCGTGGAACAGACTCAAGATGCACATATGGCTAAAGACATTAAGGACGGAAACCCGGACCTGAAAGTACATCAGACAGAATTCATCAACAACCACACCGTGAAGATCATTTTCACTTCCATATCTGTCGCTAACGTGGCTGCCAAGAACAGTTTCTACTGCTTCGGTATCCACGTTCTATCATTCTTAGTGAAGATTTAAAGATTTTGCAAAGTCAACCAGTGCCTTCGGTGCTACGAATACTTCCACCACACCTGCAAATGTCAACAGCGAATTCAAAGGTGTAGCCTCTGCTCAGCTGATCACCATTATTCTATCTGCACGTCAGAAACACTTTGCTGTCTACTTTGCAATGGGGACCATCCTGCAATCTCCCATCAATGTCCCCCGAAGACAAGAAGCTATTAAGAACCTGGAGAAAACCACATCTTCTGCCAGAGCTAGCACCAGCCCAGGCACCTTAACTCCAACCACCTCAATCTCAACCTTCAAGCCACCACTTTTCCGGGGGTTCCACCACAATTCCACCACACGCAAACGACCTAGCTAATGGGGGCCTAGCTCCCAGCCTGCCAGCCACTCATTGAGCCAGCAGTTGCCACATCCAGCCCATCCTGACCAATCACTGTATAGCACAGTACAAGCTTTGACATCGACGGCTAGTATAATAGCTTTCACTAACCCCCAAGAATATGTAAGAATTCTGAATATTCTTTACAAAGCGAATGGTCTCCCAACCTTCAACGTTCCTGATGAAGTTTACACCACCACCACTTCAACCACAAGGTCTCAAGGTCCGGATCTGGTCTTGGACATCAGTGTGAGCATCGTCATACTTACGGACCTACTGTCAACAGCTGCAACGCCCACTCCTGATGCAGCTGTATCACAAGGCACCCAGGCGCCAACAACGCCTCCTTCTCATCCATCGACAACTGCCACAGTTCCACCTCTCTCTTGTGTACACCCACGAAGCTATCTACATCTGCTACAGGACCTGCGGCGACAACTCAACCCTCAAGATTCACCACCTCTGCTTGAGTCCGCTGATTAATCGGATGAGGAAGTCTCCATTGGATCAACATCTCCACGGAATGCCCCTACTCAACTGAAGATTTCCTTCTGGACACTACATCCAACGACAGCACCAACATGAAAACACATGTGGTGCCCATATCTTAAGAAGCACATCAACAAACTGGAAAAGGTGCAGACATGCTACTAAGTGGCTCCCAGAACTGAAGGGCAAGAGCTACGAGGAGACGTTAGAGGCATTAAATATGCCAAAACTAGAAGACAAGAAAAAGAGGTGATATGATCACTACATACAAAATAGTAACAGGAAATGATAAAATCGATAGGAAAGAATTCCTGAGACCTGGAACTTCAAGAACAAGAGGTCATAGATTTAAACTAAATACACAAAGATGCCGAAGAAATATAAGAAAATTCACTTTCGCAAACAGAGTGGTAGACGGTTGGAACAAGTTAGGGGAGAAGGTGGTGGAGGCCAAGACCGTCAGTAGTTTCAAAGCGTTATATGACAAAGAGTGCTGGGAAGACGGGACACCACGAGCGTAGCTCTCATCCTGTAACTACACTTAGGTAATTACGTAGCCAGACCAACCGACTGGCCAAGAAGCCCAGGGAAAAAGAAGACCGATGATCCTAGCCTGATAAAATCAAGAAAAAACAAAACCATCGACATGTAGTAGCGAAGACCACCACAAGATCTGCGACAAGATGATTGGCCTCCTGCAAGAAACATCAGCAAGCAACCATGTGAATTCCACCCTACCAAACCACACTGTCAGCTAAAGGTTTTTATCCACAGTGGGTGGGCCACCGACTTTTTTCTCCCTCTCTTCGACTCGTCTCCAGTTCCTAGCTCAAGATTTCTGCATCCTCCCCTCCCCCTGCCTTCCATATCCTACTTACCTACTCTAGGGCCCTTGAAACTTGGAACCTATTCACTGTTGGGTAAACGGAGGCTGCAGTTATGGATTGGTGCCTAGTCAATCCTTCCTGGTCAGGATACGAACCCAGGCTAAATCACTCACTAAGCGCGGGGCAAGTGTCTTACCACTGTGCCATGGGGACTGATAAATAGATGGAATCACAGCCATAATGAACCAAAAACAAAAATGCAAGGTACCCAACCCAGAAGGTAACGGGTGCAGCACTGTCAAGCAAAGAATATGCAGCTAAATTAACTGCAAATCTAGAACCAAAGAGCAAAGAGCTAAGGCCAGTGGAGCCTTCTCCACTGTCTTTAGTTTCCCCTTCAATCAGAGATTCCTTTTCTAAGACTATTTTCCTGTTGGAGCTTGCCTTCGGTTGTAAAATTGGGGAGCTTCATGCTCTTCTTCAGAGGTGTGATTTTGTTTGTTTCGCCCTGGTGGGCATTATGTTCATCTGCATCCATCTCCTTTTCTAGCGAAGAGGAGTCAGCAGGCTTGCAAAAAAGGTTCCTTGGTTGTTGATGCTTTGTTGGTTTGGCCAAGGGTACACTACGGCTATTCCCGCTGGTAGCTCCCTGCCGATACCTTTGTGCAACTGATTCTGCCTGTGGTTGCTTTATGGATTAATCCTGCTTTCTTGGTTTCATGTTCCAAGGCTCGTGTTTTTTAGGTTGTCCACAGTGTTAAGTCCAGCCAGCCTGTGGTTTACCCTTGTGCCCATGATGTTTGGTAATACTGTACACTGCTCTTGAGGCAGATTTGAGAAATATCACAAGTGGAGTACCACAGGGTTCAGTTCTTGCACCAGTGATGTTTATTGTGTACATAAATGATCTACCAGTTGGTATACAGAATTATATGAACATGTTTGCTGATGATGCTAAGATAATAGGAAGGATACGAAACTTAAGATGATTGTCATGCCCTTCAAGAAGACCTGGACAAAATAAGTATATGGAGCACCACTTGGCAAATGGAATTTAATGTGAATAAATGTCATGTAATGGAATGTGGAATAGGAGAACATAGACCCCCACACAACCTATATATTATGTGAGAAATCTTTAAAGAATTCTGATAAAGAAAGAGATCTAGGGGTGGTTCTAGATAGAAAACTATCACCTGAGGACCACATAAAGAATATTGTGCGAGGAGCCTATGCTATGCTTTCTAACTTCAGAATTGCTTTTAAATACATGGATGGCGATATACTAAAGAAATTGTTCATGACTTTTGTTAGGCCAAAGCTAGAATATGCAGCTGATGTGTGGTGCCCATATCTTAGGAAGCACATCAACAAACTGGAAAAGGTGCAAAGACATGCTACTAAGTGGCTCCCAGAACTGAAGGGCAAGAGCTACGAGGAGAGGTTAGCAGCATTAAATATGGCAAAACTAGAAGACAGAAGAAAAAGAAGTGATATGATCACTATGTACAAAATAGTAACAGGAATTGATAAAATCGACAGGGAAGATTTCCTGAGACCTGGAACTGTAAGAACAAGAGGTCATAGATTTAAACTAGCTAAACACAGATGCCGAAGAAATATAAGAAAATTCACCTTCGCAAATAGAGTGGTAGATGGTTGGAACAAGTTAAGTGAGGTGGTAGAGGCCAAGACCATCAGTAGTTTCAAAGGCAGGCGATGAGTCGCAATAACGTGGCTAAAGTATAATGACCAGACCACACACTAGAATGTGAAGAGACGACGACGTTTCGGTCCGTCCTGGACCACTCTCAAATCGACTTGAGAGTGGTCCAGGATGGACCAAAACGCCGTTGTCCCTTCACATTCTAGTGTGTGGTCTGGTCATTAGTTTCAAAGCATTATATGACAGAGTGCTGGGAAGACGGGACACCACGAGCGTAGCTCTCATCCTGTAACTATACTTAGGTAATTACACACACACACGCGCACACTGTATATTTGGTATTGGGTAATACTTTTTTTGAGTCAAAGGATGCAGATGTAGATAATAAATTCAAAATTGTTGTGCATTTTTAAGAGCTGTCAGTGCTACTGAAGTGTGCATCACTCAGTCCATCTTAGCTATGGAAATCTTAGCTATGGAAACTTCAACAAGGTATAATGTACACACATTTAAAAGCTTTACTTTTTATTTAAAAGCCTGCCTTACTTTTCACTTACAATGAACTGCATAATTTTAAAAACCTGACACGAAACAATGTCATTTTAAAGTTCCGCAGCCGGCATACAGTGTACTTTCTCAATGTTGTTTTACATTTATCAATGCTTGATTTTAACATTCAATTTTGTTGTATACAAAATAGTCTATACCACCAAAGCATGATGAATCTTGAACCCCATACAATGCAGAAATAATTTTAATCCCTAATTGTATATTTTGCAAACAGGCAAAAGTAACACGATAGTCTTTATTACTTTCAAATAATTATTGCATTGTAAAAATATTAATGCATTCAAATACAGTACTGCTGCTTCACCAATCATTTTCATCGCTATCACTTTCACTATCCTTGTAGCCACGGATCGAGTTCATCATCACATCCTTTATTCTTGGGCCGCGGGGATCAGACTCTAAATCTGTTTTAAAACCACCTGTGCGTGACAATATCCACTCTAGCTCTAAAAGAAAATCCAAATAAAAAAAGTTACTTCCTGCAAATATACAAAAAATTGTTCATGAAAAGTTATATGATAGTCATCAGAATTAAATTCCACAGAGGTGTGGTGGAGGTGGGATAATGATATACTGCTAGCTGTGTATTGTATGCACATAGTGTGACCTGGATCTAACGTAGCTCGCTGGGCCAGAAGGAATGGGCAAAAAAAAAAAAAATGAAAATTCACTGTTTAACAAATGGCTATGTAGTATAGTACAATGGGGAATGTTGCTATAATAATTTTACTTATTCCAATTTTGATTATAACCATTTACATTACAGTAATAGTCTATCGTATGCTAAGGTAGTTAGTTGCCTTTACACGAGGTAACTAACTACCTTGGCATGTTACTTAACACCTTTTCCCAATAGGGAAAGTGGGATCTGGTGGGGTAAGATAGATGGAGGAAGGCAAGTTGGGTGGTAGAATGGATCCAGTGAGATAGGGAATGATGATGGAAGGTGAGTTGGATAGAGGTGGTATGACCCAGGTGGGCCTAAGTGATAGGGGAACACCAGTGTGTGGCAAACAAATGCAAAGTGCAGTACAGGGGTGGCTGCCACCTGTATGATACATTAGCACAATGTAAGCTTCTAGCTTGTTTAAAAGAAGTTAGTAAAAAAAAATGGCTTCAGGAAAAAAAGACAGCTAGAAGGTATCAGATATATAATTATAATCCAAGAAATTGGTGGTGGTTTAATATTCTGTAAAATGAGCAGTACAGTATGACATTAGGAGTTGCTCAAGACATCCTGAGAAAGAGAATGGATTGCTGTTATAAAAATGCCCCAGATTGGATGTGGCCTGAGGGTGTGAGGGAATTTCTTGTATATTAAGTACCTGTACTCTCAATTAACTTGCTGACCACCATTCTCCTTTTATTACTGATTTATTATTGTGGAACTCTGTCTCCTAACCACTTTTATTATCTTGTATGTGATTAAGGACAAAGGATTAACATATACTGGGGGTTAAGGGACAACTTCAAAGTGTCTTCTTCAGAGGCTGTAGGCTTGCCTACAAAATACCTGTAGATATTTTGTTTGTAAGTCTTACTCCTGCCTATGTGGGGTATTGTGCAGAAAGTAAATATAGATTAGGTAGTGCAAGAGGTTTTGTTATGGTGATGTCTGTGAGTGAATAAAATATTATAACCATACAAGTTTCCTGTGCACCAGTTTGAGGTTAGGTTGATCATCTGCTACAATAGGTAAATTGATGGGAGTAAATTCCCTGGGGACAGGGATTAAGCCCAGGAACATAATAGACTAGTCCCATATAAATTACTAACACAACCATGCTAAGAAGCATCCACATAACAGGTGGAATGGACCCGGTGAGAGAGGAATAGGAGGAGGAAGGAACGTTGGGTGGTGGAATGGATCAGGAGGATGAAGGTGAGTAGGATGGTGGAATACATCCAGTGGGGAAGGGATAGATGGAGAAAGGTGAGCTGGGTGGTGGAATGAGTATTCATACACAAATCCTTCAGAATAAATCCATCCCGTCGATCCTGGGTGGCCAATAAAATCAAATAAGGTTGACTAAATGGACAGAGGCTTGGCTGATGGATTAGATGGATGCAACTGATAATGCAATATATTTGCAATACAATTTATAAGCACTGGAGCTAAATGGAAATGCATAGAAGCAAATAAAATACACTGACTCACCTTCATATTTGAGCTTCTCTCCGCCAAACTCAGCAGCCCCAACGAACTGCCTTTTCATCTGGCCCTCAAAGTAAACAAAGATAGTAGGAAGATTGCGATCAGGAAAATTCGGAATGCACGTTGTAGATATCGCCTTCAAGAACTTCACCTAGGATAAAAATGATTTTCTTGTATTATTTCTACACAATACTTTATAGTACTGTATATTTAAAATTTTAGATGTATAAAATAAACAAAATGCATGTTCAGAATTTCATTATTTTCAAGCTAACAATAAAACCACGAGTCTCGTTGAGAAGCACTTGCATGGAGCATCAGAACATTCCTACCTGAGGGTACTTGTATGCTAGTCTTGACAGGTACTGGTTGATGAGTGCACAGATGGGTATTCCTTGCTTGTAAAGGTGTAGGAACACCCACACACCACCACCAGCATTGTTCACTTTCTCTACGTAGTCATCGGCACTAATTTCTCCAACCTGTTGAGATTTAATAAAACATGTTTTTAATGTTTTAAATTTCACTATAAAATTGATCTCTCATATAAATCTGTGTCTAATGGGGCACATAGGTGTTGAGTCGGCTCTTCTCACTGCTAGAGGTGTTGGACAGTGCTATAGTTTTGTAAAAACATGGATAGCTTCTTCTCAAGCTCTGCATGATCTTTACCTCTCACCAGGAACTGAGATTAGTAAGCTAAGAAAGCAAGTACTGTACTGTACATTGTTTACAGTAGTCTTTTTCTGTGGGAGCCCCGTCGTCTCCCTGAAGCTATCTGAACTGATATGTGCTATACAGAGGACCACTTGGTTTGGAAACTTAGAGTTATCCGAAGGTACCAGTTTCCCGATTGGGGTTGGAGAGTCACACTACACGAACTAAGTTCGGGTGAGGAAGTGGTACATCAAGCGTTGCGCTGGCCCGGGGTGGTGGGTGGGTGGGAAATGGTCCAGTTTGCCCACTATGTCTGGCTACATTATGTATGAGTTAATTTGTTTAAATTGAAGTTCAAACTAACGTAGATATATGACCGAACCTAACCAACCCTACCTAAGCTAATCTAACCTATCTTAACCTAACCTAACCTAACACAACTATGTCAATAATTTATGTTCTTAATATAATATAGTAATAATAATTCAAATGAACTAATTGGAAACAATTTATTTAAAATAAAGAAAATCACTTGGCCTATTAGACAAATCGGGCCTTGCATAGTAGGCCGAGAAGTACATTCTGGCTACTAGGTACGACATTATTATATAATACACACACACACAGTGGAACCTCGAATAACGAATTTAATCCATTTCGTCATGTGATGGACGTCATACAAAACTAATTTCCCCATTGACAATAATGGAACTGAAATTAATCAGTTCTACCACCGAAAAACAACAATATGATATTCGATGTTTTAAATAATGGAGCAGCCTACCTTACATACACTGAACATACCTTTATGGCATTTTTCTTTCTTCAAATTTGTTCAATATTTTTTTTCACTTGTTTTATAGCAAAAGGTTCGTTCTGTGTTCGGGAGGTAGGTAGCTCCATGTTTCTTAACCCTTAAACTGCGCAACACATCATATGATGTGTTGAGTAACTTGATATAAATTGCGCATCACGTCATATAACGTGTTGGAGTACTATGCAAGATTTAAACGGCCAGCGGATACACAGGGTTCACCTCGCCTTCATCAGGGCTCTTGTAAACAGACGCTATTTAAAAAAAAAAATCATGGACCAAATTCCCAGGTGTGAGGGCCTCAGTATTGAGTAAGCCACCAAGCCTGACGGCACGCAGCATGAGCTCTAGGCACTGCTGTTCAGCTTGTGACCACAGCATCGCCTAACAATGCCATAATATATATGTTCATGCTGTTATTTAGCGATGATAGTATTACAGAAGACCCCTGACTGATAAAAATGACCAGGATTCTGATAATAACAGGATTGTTGTGATAATTAGCGCTGTAGTGAGAGGAGTAATCTAGGTGGGGAGGGAGGTAGCACTGTCTGCTGACTCTGTGTGACCACCTTTTACTGTCTGGACTCACTATACCTAATTAGTGGTTCTCTATGGTAAACAAAACATGCAGATACTTATATATAACATCTGTATATAGTGTATAAAAGGCAAAAACAGTATTGTGGGAGGAGAATGGTGGCGAGTCAGGTGAGGTGAGGGAGGAAGTGCCACTGCCACTCAGCATACCAACTTAGTGGTTCGTTATGGTGAACACGAATGTAGATATTTATATATAACGTGTATATACTGTGTAATAACAGCAAAAGGAGTGTGGGGGAGAAGCCATTTTGGTGATGGGGGTGGCAACATCTGCATGATTTGTCATGTTGGTAGGGGTGGCCACTATGCTCATTGGGCACTATACCGGCTTAGTTGAACAGTTATAGTGAACAAAACATGTAGATACTTATATATAATGTGTGTATATAGGGTAATAACACCACAAACAGTATTGTTGGGGTGAAATTTAGTGTGTCTGACCTTGAATGTATGAGGGAGGCAGCCGCCAGCTGACTGTGTGTAGCGACATCTCTTAGTGCCTGAACTAACTATATCAGCTTAGTTGTACAGTTGTGGTGAACAAAACATGTAGATACTTATATACAATGTCTGTATATAGTGAATAAAAGCAATGTGGATGAATGTGGGCGAGTGAGGTGTTGAGGGAGTGAGTGGCAGCGAGTGGCTGGCTGGTGTGTGGCGGTCACTCCTCGTTGCTTTTTGACTCATAATACCAACTTAGTGGTTCGTTATGGTGAACAAAACATGCAGACACATATATATAACCTGTGTATATAGTGTAATAACCGAAAAAGTATTTGTTCACTGTTTGATGAACATAATAATTAAATCAACAATATGCACACCATAATTTTGAGCACAGCGATGATTCACACATTTTATTATATAAATAGATTACACTACACACTATTGAATAATATTACAGCAAAAAAAACTACAAAAAATCAGAGACATTGAAATAATTAGGTAATTATCTCTTTGTGGCCAATCCTGCCTGACAGCTGGGGAGGAGTAGACCGCCTGGGACGCACGCTGAGTCAGCGCCTGTTTTTTGCCACACTTCCCCGCCCTATAGCGGGCAATATATGCCACTTACGATTTGTTTATTATTTTTCCCATGATCAGAGAACACAAATTAACTGGTTTAGAAGATTTTTTTTTTTTTTTTTTTTTTGGTATGGGCCTGTGGGTGGCAAATGCTAATTAGCCCTGAGCAACACAGGTTAAAAAAAATAAGAATTTTGAAAAAGGGAACAAATGTCAAAAAGGTTCGTTCGGTGTTCGGCAGGTAGGCTGCTCCATGTTTTTTAAATAAAAAAAAACAAAAAATAAAAAAAACGGTTGAAATAATTTGAAAAATGGACAAATGCCATGAAGGTTCATTCACTATTTGTCGGGTAGGTTGCTCCATTATGACGATCTTTCTTCTATTTCAAATTTGTTTCATTTGATTTGTATTTCTCATTTATGTCTCAATAATGGAGCAGCCTACTCAACAAACACTGAACGAACCTTCATGGCATTTGTCCATTTTTCAAATTGTTTCAACTGTTTTTTTTATTTTTCGTTTTTTTTATTGTGACGATCACGCTTATAAGAAATTCCATCTTTTGGTGATTTTTTGCTTTTTAAACATAACTGATTATTATATATCATGCCATGGGTCCCAAGAAAGTCAGTGGTAAGGTTCAACATATGAAAACACATGTGAGGATGACAATAGCGGCAGCTGAGCAAATTTCTTCTGGGAAGGAGGTAGAACAGATTGTCCCTTCCTCAACAATTAGGAAGTGGTGTAGACTGTGGGAAGAAATGCAAACTTTTGTTGAAACGACTCACCCAGAGCAAGTTGTAGTAGGCCATTGCCTTAACCTTTTCAATGACACTGTGATGCATCACTACAGACAAATGTTAAAACTAAGGGAAAAACAAGTGTTGCTAGACAAATTTTTAGTGAGACAAACAAGCAGTGAACCACAAGCAGGTCCTTGTGGTATGCAGGCAAAACGTAGAAGTGTGTGTATCCCAGAGAAATCATCACTGCCTGATGTTATAATGGAAGGGGATTCCCCTTCCATCATGACCGACTAGGGAGCTGGTCGACCGAGAGGACAGCACACTGGACTTGTGATCATGTGGTCCCGGGTTCAATCCCGGGTGCCGGTGAGAAACAATGGGCAGAGTTTCTTTCACCCTATGCCCTTGTTACTTAGCAGTAAAATAGGTACCTGGGTGTTAGTCGCTGTCATGGGCTGCTTCCTGGGGGTGGAGGCCTGGTCGAGGACTGGGCCACGGGGACACTAAAAAAGCCCCGAAATCATCTCAAGATAACCTCAAGATAACCCTTCCACACAGTAACACCTCTCCTCCTCCCCCTCCTCACCATCTTCCATATGCCATCAAGAGTTCTCCGTAAAGGTAAGATAAACATATTTACTGTATTGTAGTTAGAGAAAAAAATTGTATTCAGTATAAAATGTATTTTTAAGTTAATATTTTTGGGGATGTGGAATGGATTAATTCAATTCATTTATTTCTTATGGGAAAAATAGCTTCGACTTACGATACACCTCTGAGAACGGATTACTGTCTCCACTCAATTATCCGGACTATATGGGAAGGACCCCCAGCTGGATAATCACGTTTTCCGTATGAGTACTTTTTCACCTCTGAGTCCAAAAGAGACCATTTCCAACAATCTTTATACCACACTCATGATTTGAATTTACACACATTAATTAGTGTGTAGGGCTGGGTGGGTGGTTAGCTGCCTAGCTGGTGGGTGGGCAGGCAGATAGGTGGGTGGGCAGGCAGGGATAGGTGGGTTCAAGCAGGTGGGTTTTGGATGGGGTAGATGGCAGGCAGATGGGCTTGGTGGGTGAACAGGTTCGAGCAGGCAAGTGGGTGGGCAAGCAGGCAGGTGGGTGAACAGGTGGGTGGGTGGATTGGCAGGTGGGTAAGTGGCCATGCAGGCAGGTGGGTAAACAGGTAGGTGAGTAGGGAAGTGGGTGAGCAGGCAGGTGGGTGTGCAGGTACAGTAGGTGGGTGAATGAGGTGGGTGGATGGATTGGCAGGTGGGTAAGTGAGCATGCAGGCAAGTGGGTTAACAGGTGGGTGGGTGGGCAAGACTGGCCTCAGACAGATCACAGGTCTGTGATCTCCTGCCTGGTCGCCCCCTACCCCCCCCCCTCACGCTGGCCTTCCCATCTCCGACACACGTGGGTGTTGACACGCTGTACGATAACTTTTAACATGTGTGCCTCAAGTTCTGTTAAATCCCATTTTATTTTCTTGTAAATATTTAAATGAATAAATAGCAAACCAAATACAGGCATACCTCAGAATAAGAGTTTAATCCGTTCTTGGAGACGCCTCGCCTTCCGAAAACTCGCATTCCGAAGTTAATTTCCCCATAAGAAATAAAGGGAAATGAATTAATCCGTTCCTGACTACCCCAAAAACCCCACATCAAACTAAATTTTTATACCTAATTTACCTAATTCATCTAAATAAACCTACAAAACTGTGTTCCAGTTATTACTTACCTTGCTGTCGAGTGCTGTAGGCGTATGGAAGATGGTGAGGAGGGGGGAGGAGGAGAGGAGTTACTGTTTGGAAGGGGAGTCCCCTTCCATAATCACATCACATAACCCCATGCCTTGTAACACTATGGATACCACTTCTCTTTCTAAATTTTTCAAACCAGCCCCTGCTTGCCTTAAACTCTTTCTTATCTGCATCACTCGTTGCAGGGGTATTCTTTAGAAGGTCTTCGTGCAACACCCTGGCTTTCTCACAAATAATGGCCTCCGAAACACTATCACCCCTCAACTCCTTGTCGTGTATCCAAATTAATAACAACTTTTCCACTTCTTCAAGTATTTGTGGTCTTTGTGCCGTTAATGTTCTTACTCCTTTTGCCACTTTAGCACCCATAATCTTATTTTTCTTCTTAAGTATAGTGCATATTGTTGATGTGGCTTTGTTGTACTGCCTACAAAGTTCAACAACACGTGTACCGTTCTCATTCTTCCGAATGATCTCTTGTTTCTCCTCTATTGTCATCCTCACATGAGCTTTCTGGCCTTTATCCTTACCACTGGCTTTCTTGGGACCCATGGTGAGATATATAATAACAAATTGTATAGACAAATCACCAAAAATCCAACAAAACACTGAAAATCCGCGAGAAGAATTGATGTGGGGGTAGTCACTGAGCGCGAGACAATAATAAACTGAGGGGCGGAGGGGCGACGAACGCGCTAGGTCGGCTGTACGCGTATCAACAAACTCGCGTCCAAACTCGCCTCCCGAAGTAACCCTCGCCTTCTGAGACAAATTTTTGGAGTAAATACACCTCGCCTTCCGAAAACCTCGCATACAGGGACAATCGCATTCCGAGGTACCACTGTACTGTACTGTACTGTTCAACTATTATAGTGTGTTATTTAATTAATATTCGTAACTAGCTCTCCACAGCAATAAGAAAATAATATAATTCTTACAACGCTGCCAACGCCATCTTCCTTTGTTAGGCTTAAGTGAGTCACATACACACTTAACAGTTCTTCCTTCCTTCCTGCCAACTCACTCCCTCCCTTCTTGCCAACTCCCTCCTTCCCTCCCTTCCTTCCTGCCAACTCCCTCCCTCCCTCTTGCCAACTCCCTCCTTCCCTCCCTTCCTTCCTGCCAACTAACTCCCTCCTTCCTTCCCTCCCCAACTCCCTCCTTTCCTGACCGTTATCCCCCAGGTGGCCCCTCCCAACGCTCCTCTCTCTCCCGACACCACCCACCCACCCTACCCCCTCCTACACCATGCGCCACCTCGAGCCACAGCCTTACGGGATTAATACGGTACGGCCCGCCGCCTGGCTTTCGTATCCGGACAATTCACTGCTTGTCCGGCTGACTGTCCGGATAGTGCAACATCGACAGCAAGTTAACCAGCCCAGATTTTTTATCCGGTCAAGCACTCGATTTTCTGGCTCCTATGGTCATTTTGGCCGGATATTGAGATAACTTTATCCGGTCACAATTTTGGCCTTATAAGGGCGTTTTCCGGACATTTGAATTCCGGATAATCGCGTGTCTACTGTACCATGGTAAATCAAGGCCCCACTGTATATGATTTGTGCCCTCCTGGGTTAAAGCTGAAAACATTGCATGTAATTACCTAAGTGTAATTACCTAAGTGTAGTTACAGGATGAGAGCTACGCTCGTGGTGTCCCGTCTTCCCAGCACTCTTTGTCATATAACGCTTTGAAACTACTGACGGTCTTGGCCTCCACCACCTTCTCACTTAACTTGTTCCAACCGTCTACCACTCTATTTGCGAAGGTGAATTTTCTTATATTTCTTCGGCATCTGTGTTTAGCTAGTTTAAATCTATGGCCTCTTGTTCTTGAAGTTCCAGGTCTCAGGAAGTCTTCCCTGTCGATTTTATCAATTCCTGTTACTATTTTGTACGTAGTGATCATATCACCTCTTTTTCTTCTGTCTTCTAGTTTTGGCATATTTAATGCTTCTAACCTCTCCTTGTAGCTCTTGCCCTTCAGTTCTGGGAGCCACTTAGTAGCATGTCTTTGCACCTTTTCCAGTTTGTTGATGTGCTTCTTAAGATATGGGCACCACACAACAGCTGCATATTCTAGCTTTGGCCTAACAAAAGTCATGAACAATTTCTTTAGTATATCGCCATCCATGTATTTAAATGCAATTCTGAAGTTAGAAAGCATTGCATAGGCTCCTTGCACAATATTCTTAATGTGGTCCTCAGGTGATAGTTTTCTATCTAGAACCACTCCTAGATCTCTTTCTTTATCAGAATTCTTTAAAGATTTCTCACATAATATATAGGTTGTGTGGGGTCTATGTTCTCCTATTCCACATTCCATAACATGACATTTATTAACATTAAATTCCATTTGCCAAGTGGTGCTCCATATACTTATTTTGTCCAGGTCTTCTTGAAGGGCATGACAATCATCTAAATTTCTTATCCTTCCTATTATCTTAGCATCATCAGCAAACATGTTCATATAATTCTGTATACCAACTGGTAGATCATTTATGTACACAATAAACATCACTGGTGCAAGAACTGAACCCTGTGGTACTCCACTTGTGACATTTCTCCATTCCGATACATTGCCTCTGATTACTGCTCTCATTTTTCTATCAGTCAGAAAATTTTTCATCCATGATAGAAGCTTACCTGTCACCCCTCCAATATTTTCCAGTTTCCAGAACAACCTCTTATGTGGAACTCTGTCGAAAGCCTTTTTTAGGTCCAGATAGATTTATGAGATGTGTCTCATTTAGGAGGCAAGTTATAAAGTGGACTTTGTTTTGCATGTTTTAATACCTTGTATGATGGTAAATATGAAAGGATATATTTATGAAGGGCATTGGTAACCCTAACACAAACTCGTTCACATGCACTGTCCAGTCCCAACGACTGGTTACACCCGTTCCTGGCAACTCGGGGCTCCAGTCAGCTACTCACCTCAGTCATGCGCCTGGTGAGGATGTGTGTACAAAAGCTCCTAGTGCCCTGTCCGCACTTCCTGGCATTGATTCAGATAAGTGGTAGTTAGCTTTTTTTAACTTTACTAGAAGGGCCCAAGTTTGTATTTGTCAGTGCTCAGTTCCCCTTAGAGTTGCAGGATCTACATGCACCAGCAGCATAACATTTTTTACATAAAACAGAAAACAGCCACTTGCCTCTCCAAACTTGTTTGCTGCTGCCTCAGCTTTCATTTCTGCAATTCTTTTACGACGATACTCGAGAAGGATGGTCTCATCTTCTTCATCTTCCAACTCTTCTAATTCATCCAATGACAACTTTCCTAATCTGGCTTCTGATGAATTAAAAAAACATTCTATTATTGACAAAATCAGTTAGGGGGAAGGGAGTGTTTTCAGTTCCCTATGCTAGGCATATCACACACTGCAAACAATATTTTGGAATACAGTATCCTTTAAAATACATATGTTCTCTCATTTTAAATGTACAATATGGACATGACTATATACAGTATGGGTTGAATACATTTTTAAAAATACAAATAATATTACAAAATATTCTTAATATTCTTAGAGATACAAATTTTCCCACCACTCTCTTTTTAACAAGATATTACAAAAAATCTAAAGTAGATGTAATAGAGATGTTTACACAGTAGGTGTTAACAGTGCACCCTTCCAAATAACGACCTTCCTGAGCCAGCCACCTGTTTAGCTCCATGGCTAAAGCACCCCACCAGGTGCCTCATTTCATTTCATTTCATGGTGGGGCCTCACCCCACCAGGTGTCTGAAGCCCCTTGTGAAGTCACTAGCATCTACCTGAGAACAAGAAACAGAAAACTACACTATGTCATGGTGTAGTGGTCTAGGGCATGTGCTTGGGAGTACCAAGTGTGTAGGTTTGAATCCTCCTTATGGCTCCTACTGATTTTCTTACTGATACATCACATATTAGTAATGTGATTTCATTGTTCAAAATCTGGCTCCCTTAATAAAGACAAAGCAGTCTGGGAATACTAAATCAACTTGGGCCAAGAAAAACCTACTAGAAATGTTGTGCCCCAAAACAAGCAACTGCATGAAGGGCATTGGTAACCCTAACACAAACTACGTACACATGCACTGTCCAGTCCCAATGACTAGTTACACTCCTTCCTGGCAACTCGGGGCTCCAGCCAGCTACTCGCCTCAGTCATGTGCCTGGTGAGGATGTGTGTACAAAGGCTCCTAGTGCCCTGTCCGCACTTCCTGGCATTGATTCAGGTAAGTGGTAGTTAGCTTTCTTTTGGACTTTCTTACAAGGGCCCAAGTTTGTGTTTGTTCCATTTTCTGGTTAACCGCTGTACTGAGCAACGTGCCTTGAGGCACTCGACGGGTGGTGTGCAACGTGCCTTGGGGATCTCTTAGGTATAGCGTACTATTCAAAATTGGCGCTCGGTGACACGGGTATGAAGTGGATGCCTGAGGGCTCCAGTGATCGTCCGTTATTCTGAAAAAAAATCCCAGCATGCCCCAGGGCCGTGGGGAGCCCAAGTTTCAAGGAAGCAACCATGTCTGATGCATCGTCTACGAGCTCCCGGTCCACGGTCAGCCACGGTCCAGGAAAACGACTATCTGAGGACAAAATACAGTACGTGCCATATTGTATGATGATGGAGCGTTGGATGATGATTTAGACTACAATCCAGAGAAAGACCTAACACGGAGGTCTGATATGAGTGAGGGGGAGAATTAGGTGGAGGAGGTCGCGAGTGTGTACAGTACACGCACCTCACCCAGCCTGCCTCGCCACCCCGGGTCAACACTGCTAGTCACCACCACCATGTGTGTAATTACCTAAGTGTAATTACCTAAGTGTAGTTACAGGATGAGAGCTACGCTCGTGGTGTCCCGTCTTCCCAGCACTCTTTGTCATATAACGCTTTGAAACTACTGACGGTCTTGGCCTCCACCACCTTCTCACTTAACTTGTTCCAACCGTCTACCACTCTATTTGCGAAGGTGAATTTTCTTATATTTCTTCGGCATCTGTGTTTAGCTAGTTTAAATCTATGGCCTCTTGTTCTTGAAGTTCCAGGTCTCAGGAAGTCTTCCCTGTCGATTTTATCAATTCCTGTTACTATTTTGTACGTAGTGATCATATCACCTCTTTTTCTTCTGTCTTCTAGTTTTGGCATATTTAATGCTTCTAACCTCTCCTCGTAGCTCTTGCCCTTCAGTTCTGGGAGCCACTTAGTAGCATGTCTTTGCACCTTTTCCAGTTTGTTGATGTGCTTCTTAAGATATGGGCACCACACAACAGCTGCATATTCTAGCTTTGGCCTAACAAAAGTCATGAACAACTTCTTTAGTATATCGCCATCCATGTATTTAAATGCAATTCTGAAGTTAGAAAGCATTGCATAGGCTCCTTGCACAATATTCTTAATGTGGTCCTCAGGTGATAGTTTTCTATCTAGAACCACTCCTAGATCTCTTTCTTTATCAGAATTCTTTAAAGATTTCTCACATAATATATAGGTTGTGTGGGGTCTATGTTCTCCTATTCCACATTCCATAACATGACATTTATTAACATTAAATTCCATTTGCCAAGTGGTGCTCCATATACTTATTTTGTCCAGGTCTTCTTGAAGGGCATGACAATCATCTAAATTTCTTATCCTTCCTATTATCTTAGCATCATCAGCAAACATGTTCATATAATTCTGTATACCAACTGGTAGATCATTTATGTACACAATAAACATCACTGGTGCAAGAACTGAACCCTGTGGTACTCCACTTGTGACATTTCTCCATTCCGATACATTGCCTCTGATTACTGCCCTCATTTTTCTATCAGTCAGAAAATTTTTCATCCATGATAGAAGCTTACCTGTCACCCCTCCAATATTTTCCAGTTTCCAGAACAACCTCTTATGTGGAACTCTGTCGAAAGCCTTTTTTAGGTCCAGATAGATGCAGTCAACCCAGCCATCTCTTTCCTGTAATATCTCTGTGGCCCGATCATAGAAACTGAGTAAATTCGATACACAGGATCTTCCTGATCGAAAACCATACTGTCTGTCTGATATTATATCATTTCTCTCCAGGTGTTCTACCCATTTAGTTTTGATTAGCTTTTCCAATACTTTCACTATTACACTTGTCAATGATACAGGTCTATAATTGAGGGGGTCTTCCCTGCTGCCACTTTTGTAGATTGGAACTATGTTAGCCTGTTTCCACACGTCTGCTACGATTCCTGTACACAGGGATGCCTGAAAGATCAGGTGAAGTGGAATGCTGAGCTCAGATGCACATTCTCTCAGAACCCATGGTGAAACGCCATCTGGGCCAGCTGCTTTGTTCCTCCCGAGCTCCTTTAGCATATTTTCCACTTCATCTCTAGACACCTCTATCCGCTCTATGTTGTTCTCTGGAATTCTTATTGTGTCTGGTTCTCTGAAGATTTCATTTTGTACAAACACACTTTGGAACTTTTCATTTAATGTTTCACACATTTCCTTTTCATTTTCCGTGAATCTGTTTCCCATTTCCAACCTCTGGATATTATCCTTTACCTGCAATTTGTTGTTTATGAATTTGTAGAATAGGCCCGGTTCTGTTTTACATTTATCTGCTATCCCTTTTTCAAAATTTCTTTCTGCCTCTCTCCTTACTGCTGTATAATTGTTTCTCGCATCTTTGTATCGCTGGTATGTTTGGGGGTTTGGCCTCTTCCTATACTGATTCCATTTTTGTGTCTTTTGGTCTCTTGCCTTCTCACAATTTCTGTCGAACCAATCCTGTTTTCTGGTCCTGCATCTCTGTTTTGGTATAAATTTTTTTGTGCCTTTATCATATATTTCACAAAACTTGCCATACATCTCATTCACTTCCTTGCCTAGCATCAAGTCTGTCCAATTATACTCACTAAAAAAATTTCTAAGGTCACCATAATGTCCTCTCCTGAAGTCTGGTTTTTCAACTGCTTCAACCTCCTTATTTTCTTCCAGCTTATAACGCATTGCATACTTTATTCCCAAAAAGACATGGTCACTTTTACCCAAGGGAGGAAGGTACTGAATGTCAAATATCTCTTCCTCCTTCCTGGTAAATATCAAATCTAGCATGGAGGGAACGTCCCCTTCCCTCATCCTCGTAGCTTGTTTAACATGTTGATACAAGAATGTTTCCAGGATGAGGTCTACAAATTTACAGGTCCAAAAATCTTCTGTTTTAGCTTCATATGCTTCCCAGTCTATGGATTTCAAGTTGAAGTCACCGACTATCAACAGTCGTGATCTATCGTTATCCGCTCTCGCTATAATCTCTCTCATTATTGTTATAAGACCTTCACGTTTACTATCTAGCTCCTCCTTTGACCATGTGCTGCTTGGTGGTGGACTATATGCATTTATCATCATTAGTTTATCATCCTCATAGCAGATCTCTAGTGCTATTATGTCAACTTCTTGTGGATTGGCAGTCATTATTTCCTTCACCTTTAGGTGTTCTTTTACCAGCACAGCAACGCCACCGCCTTTCCTAATTTTTCTGTCCCGTCTCCAAATTGAGTAGCCCCTTGGGAATATGACCTCATTTAAAATTACATCTTCAAGTTTTGTCTCCGTGAGTGCAACAATGTCTGGTGTCTGCAGCTGTATTACATCACTTAACTCCAGTATCTTCGATCTCACTCCATCTATGTTGGTGTATGCAATCTTCAGGAACTTGTTCCCCCTCTCCTTATTCTTCACTCCCCCTCTCTCTATTGATTTTGTTGGTTTGCCTTTATGTACCACTTTACTGGTTTGCCTACCCCTATCACTTTGTAGAAAAAAGAATTTATTTCTTCTTCATTCCTGCTCTCATTTAAATGTTTTGCCTCGGCGAGGTTCAGTTTCAGCTTCTCTCTATCTTCTTTTGAAAGATCTCGTCTTAACGACCACCCTTTCCCATCCTCATCCCTTTGCAATTTTCTAGCATTCCTTAGTACTTCTTCCATCTGTTTGGCACCGTTTAGGGTGATCCTCAAAGGTCGATCTTTCCCTTTTACGTACCTGCCTATTCTCCTGTAGTCGCACACATTCTCTCTGTTTGTAAGACCTTCCACGAGGCCAACAATTTTATCTACTACTTTAGCTTCTTCTACAGCTCTTTCTGACCTAGATGTTATCGCCTTTTCTTTGCATGTGTAATTACCTAAGTGTAATTACCTAAGTGTAGTTACAGGATGAGAGCTACGCTCGTGGTGTCCCGTCTTCCCAGCACTCTTTGTCATATAACGCTTTGAAACTACTGACGGTCTTGGCCTCCACCACCTTCTCACTTAACTTATTCCAACC